CAGAGCTGCATCAGAAAAAACGATAGCAACACCCAGGACCTGCAGATATTACACAGACTTACAAATGGCCCACAGAGTTAGGACTGGACATGGGGTGGAGGTGATCTGAAGTACAGGGACTTGGCTCATTTTGCACAAATGCCTAAATACAATTAGTAAATATTTGTGCATACTCTCACACAGATTCTACCTCAGTCCTATTCCCAGGTCTGGAAAATCCACAGAACAGGCTACAAGTATATCAGAAATGGTAAATGAATGGAAAAGAGATTCAAACCCAAACCACAATGAACCAAATTTATTTGATAATCTACAAAAGCAAGCATTTTTCATTTCAAAAATCATGAGTTAAGACAAGTATATTACACAGAATGAACAAAGATACTTACAAGACATACATCTTCAAAGAAATGGATTCAAATGTTAAATATAGGAAGAACTCATGCAGATCAGTGCAGACAAAACAAAAGCGAAAAGGTTAAAAGACTGGAACACGTATTACACAAAATAAGATAGGTAAATGGCCAAGAAACCAAATTCAGCTTGGCTTCATTAGTTAGCACAGACACACAAGTTAAAACCACAATGGGAGGTCACTACATACCTCCCCGACATCCAAAATGAAAAAGTCTAACAATACTAAGTGATGGCAAGGAGACGGAGCCACAGTAGGAAGATATATTCATATGCTGGGACTCTAAACAGAAATGACACTATGGATACCTTGCTGTTGAGTGAAAGAAAAGGGCTCAAAAATCCACATTATCTGGTTCCATTTATATAAAATGGGCAAAATAACCAAGATGTTAGAAGAGCAGAGTAGGGAGGGACAGGGTGGATGGAAGATGGGTGCAGTGGAGCGAGGCAGGGCAAGGGCAAGGGGAAGGGTAACCAGAGAAGGAGCGGCCCCTGAGGCAGGGGAAGGAGTTGCTGAGGTGAAGGAAGGCATCCCTGAGGGGGAGTGGGCTGTCCCTGAGGGGGAAGAAGGCATCTCTGGGGTGGAGAAAGATGTCCCCAAGGTAGAGCGGGGTGGTTCTGAGATAGAGAAGGGCGGCCCTGATGTGGAGGAGGATGTTCCCGCAATGGAGTAGGATGTCCCTCAGGTGGAGCGGGGTGTCCCTGAGGTCAAGGAAGATATTCCTGAGCCGGAGTGGGGCAACCCTGAGGTGGAGAAAGGTGTCCCTGAGGCGGAGTGGCATGGCCCTGAGGTGGAGAAAGGCGTCCCTGAGGCGGAGTGGAATGTCCCAGAGGTGGAGAAAGGTGTCCCTGAGGCGGAGTGGAATGTCCCAGAGGTGGAGGAGGGCATCCCTGAGGTGGAAGAAGGTGTCCCTGAGGGGGAGGAAAGCATCCCTGAGGTAGAGTGGGATGTCACTGGGGAGAAGGAAGATGTCCCTGAGGTGGAGGAAGGCATCCCTGAGACGAGGTAAGGCATCCCTGAGAAGGAGAAAGATGTCCCTGAAGTGGGGTAATGCGTCCCTGAGGTGGAGTGGCTGTAACTGAGGAGGAAGAAGATGTCCCTGAGGTGGGGGAAGGCATCCCTGAGGTAGAGTGGGATGTCCCTGAGGAGGAGGAAGATGTCCCTGAGGTAGAGTGGGATGTCCCTGAGGAGGAGGAAGATGTCCCTGAGGTGGGAAAAGATGTGCTGGAGGTGGTGTGGGATGTCACTGAGGAGGAAGAAGATGGCCCTAAGGCGGCGTGAGGAAGCTCTGAGATGGAGAGGAGTGGTCCTGAGTGGAAGAAAGGGTCCCTGAAGCGAAACGGGATGTCCCTGAGGTGGGTGGAGTATCCCTGACGTGGAGTGGGATGTCACTGAGGAAGAGGAAGATGTCCCTGAGGCGGAGGAAGGCGACCCTGAGGTGGGAGAAGGCGACCCTGAGGTGGAAAAACGTGTCCCTGAGGTGGAGAAGGCACAGCCGAAGCGGGGAAGGCCGCACCGCCTTCTCTCCAAGAGGCCATGTTGCCATGGCTGACCCCACGATATCGTCGCAGGACACCAGTGAAGTTGCCCCAGGAGCCTCTGCCCACCTTGGTTTTGGTTCCTGAGGCCCAGCTCCCAGGACGCCACGCGCTTACCTTGCTTACCTCACCCGACGCTCCTCAAGCCTAAGCGCCACTGCGTGGCCCTCAGGCGCATGCGCAGTACGCCAACATGCCAGCACCGTGGACGGCGGGGCAAGGGAGGGACCTGTTTGAGGGGCGGAGCCAGAGTCCTAACTGAGACTGGGACCTGGGAGGGACCTGAGGCAGGAGCCTGAGACATGGGGCGGAGCCAGAGCCTTGCCTGGAAGAAGCCTGAGGGCACGGCCTGGGGAGGGGCGGAGCCAGAACCTGCCTGGAAGGGGCCTGAGGGCGGGGCCATGGGAGAGGCGGAGCCTGGGTTGAGGGCGGGGCCACGGGAGGGGCAGAGCCAGAACCTGCCTGGAAGGGGCCTGAGGGCGGGGCCACGGGAGAGGCGGAGCCTGGGTTGAGGGCTGGGCCACAGGAGGGGTGGAGCCAGAACCTGCCTGGAAGGGGCCTCAGGGCTGGGCCACGGGAGGGGTGGACCCTGGGATGAGGGCGAGGCCTTGGGAGGGACAGCCCAAGAACCTTGCTGAAGGTTTGTCCCTCACCCTTCTCACTGTCCAGTTTTCATTCTCTTTGTGGTCCCTGGGCCCAGATGAGGCATGTGGCACATCCCTCACCCTCTTGGCCATCCCTGAGCCTAGCTCAGGGTCATCGCCCTCTGCCCGAGATCATCTATATGGCCTCTACCAGTTTGCTGGCCTCTGCGCATGACAGTCCACTGGGCCTTTATGGCCATTCTGCAGCAGAATCCCTCTCCCTCACTGGTGCCTAGGCCCAAGCACAGGCAGCTGTTCAGAGCCCCAGCCACAGGCCTATCCCTGGACCCAGGCCCTGGGCAGGCCTTGTTCAGTGCATCTCCCAGGCTCCAGGACGAAGGGAGCAGAGGACAGGGAACTGGGAGCAGCCAGGGAACTGCCCACCCTCCCACTCCACCCTAGGGATGAAGACATGCCTGAGACAGGGTAGGCAGTGTATGTGCTGGCCACAATTTATTGTTAGAGAGTGAGAGTCAGGAGCCCCTTCCTCCAGGTTGACCCCCAGATTCCTGAAGCATTGTCCCTGTCAGGGGGTCTTGCAACAGTCACTCCCTACCACCCCTCCTGAATTTACTCCACCTCCTCTCGAAGTTACAAAAGTGATACATACTCATTGCAATGGCTCAAGGACAACAAAGGGCAAATAGGACCCCCTGCCTCCCAAGGTCTCTGCAGCCTCTCGTGGATACTCTTGAGGATTCATTCTGGGAGAAAGAAACTCTTTCCTCTTAAGTCGAGAACTGAGGCAGCTTGCGGCTCTAGAGAAGGTTTCCGTCAAAAGAAGGTCTGAAGAAGACTTGCAGAAATGGGAGATGGAAGGAGTCTTGTCTGCATGGTTCTCAGGTCTCAGGTCTGCCAAAGGTCCTCCAAGCAAGGCACCTGCCCCCAGGTGCACATGTCCATGATTTCCTTTAGTTGCGTTGGTTTCACTTCAGCTACTGTGAATTGGGTTAATATTATTTGCAACCGAGAGGATCCTGGAAAATGTACACAGAGCCAGAAATGGCTCTCACCGAAGTCCTTGGGGGTCCTCCACATTGCCTCTCCACACACCCTCTGAGGGTCAAGAAGGGGTGGAAGGCAACTGTTCTGGAGAAGGCTATTACCGCTGGACTCTGGCTGCCCACTCCACAGGCTGCTCTGGAACAGGTGCAAAGCCACAGGCTCCGCATCCCAGGACTTTCCACTGTCCCCCAGCAAGCCACTCTGAGGGCCTGAAAAAGGAAGAAGTGGCAGAGCTCGAAGCCATCCCATGCTGCCTGGCCACCACGGTGGCTTTTCCTGCTGTGGTAGCACCCCACAGTGGCTAATGAAATTGACCTAGAAGGTTGCCACTGACATCATTAGGTGAGAAGGACCAGTGCTGCACTTAAAAAGTGGTGTCATGACCCTTGTCATCAAAGGTGTCCCACAGCCACAGTCACGCAGAACAAAGTGGTCTTCATGACACATCATCAAAGGTGCACACACGCACGGCCACAGGCACACAGAGACTCATCTAGGAGGCGGGCAGTGGGTATGTGCCCAGTGCCTTCTACACTGATGGTCACCAGCATGAGACTCCAGCCTCTGCTGCACAGTCAACCACATCCTCCCTGTTTCACTTCAGACCTTCAGGAGGTGGTCAGCTAAGACTTTCTATCGAGGAGCAAAGAGTACATATATCCTGCTATGTGGGCCATCTGGTCTCTGTCCCAGCAGCTGGATGCTGCCTTCCCGAGCAGGGAAGAAACTGCACACAATTTGCTGATGAGCGTGTGGCGGTGCACGGGACACCTGCCCGTGTGGGCTGCACCCACCCAGTCCACCCTCAGATGTATTCCCTGTGTCAGGTCCCGCCAGCCCAGATCCAAGCTGCTTTCTGCCCTGGGAGGCATCTACACAGGAATGCAAACACATATACCTCCCCCCACCCCCCGTGGTGCTGGAGATCAAACACAGGGCCTTGCACATGCTAGACGAGTGCTCTACCACTGAGCTACATCCCAGCTCACTTTTTTTTTTTAAAAGGCATACTTAGTAAAAATTCAAACTGTGTCAATTTGAAAGAGTACAATATAAAAGTAGCAAAAACTTTGGTTTATGTACAAAATTGGAATAATTTTTTTTAAAAGCAAAAGCTCTCAAAAGCTTTGGTTTCCTCTCTTAAACACCGGGGACCATAATAGTTCCTGTTTCATAGGATGCAGGTAGGAATTGGCTATGACAATTGAGATAAAGAGCTCAGCACTGTGCTGGACAGAATGGGCCCCCCAAAGGCTGGCCTTTATGATCAACACTGTCAACCATCTGCTGACCATTCTTTCCTGGCCACAGGGAGGTGTCCCATGGGTGGAGAACCAGCCAGCTCAAGATCTGAATAGTGCCCAGAGCTTCATGGGCCCCAGACACTCTCCTAAAGCCATTTATAAAACCCTACATTTGACTATAAGGAAAACACAAATTAAGTGTCACCCATTTTCTTACTTCCGCGGGAGCATCCCATGTGAGATTTCTGACAACTGAGATCTTGATCAGTGCTGAGGAGAACCTCCCACGATGCTGAGGATGTTGTTCATCTCCAAGGTCCATGCAGTAGCCACTGACCACTGACACTGATGGGTGGTTAGTGCACTGAAGAGATTGCATTTAGAATTTATTCCATGTTGATTCCTCTAAATGTAGGTGTGTACATTAGTGGTTATTGTGTTGGACAGCACAGGAACCTACCAGAATGCCCTCTCACACTCAGTTACTCACAGGGCTTTTGCTTGAGATGGGCAGGGTGTTCTTTATCGTTGGAAGGTGAGGAAGCCTGTCTGTCATGTTGTAGGATTATTTTTCTGTATACTCGGCCTCTATCCACAGGTTCCAGTTGCCAGTAGCACCTCCCAGTAGGGACAATCAGAAATATCTCCTGATACCGCACAAATGTTGTGGGAAGAGGAACCGTCCGTGGGGAACCACTGAAGTAAAGTCAGATGGAAACCAGGCAGTGTCCACTAGAACAGTCTCCCTGGTCTGACCTTGCTGGTGGCTCTGGGGTAGTTCTGGACAAGGGCTCTTTCTGGGCCAGGAGGCCTTACTTTCCCTTCCTAGCATGCATTTTCAGGTGGAGCGTCAAGGTGGCCAGGTGCCTGAAGGACCTCCCACACTGTGCGCAGGGGTCCGGCCTGTCTGCGGCGTGGATTCTGCGGTGGTTATTCAGGGTGGTCCTATCAGTGAAGCCTTTCCCACACTCGGTGCACACGAACGGCTTCTGCCCCGCGTGCAGCCGCTGGTGCCGTATGATGCTCGACTTACACCGGAAGGCCTTTCCACAGCCCTGGCACCGGTGCAAGGAGTCCTCCCCGTGGCTTTTCTGGTGCTTGAGGAGGGCTGCCTTGCTGGGGAAGGCTTTCCCACACTCGGGACAGTCCTCGCGGGCTCCCGGCACGTGGATCTGCTTGTGCTCTGTCAGGTGAGCACGGTTCCGGAAGTGCTTTCCACACTCTTCACACTTGTGCGGCTTCTCCGCTTGGTGGAGCCGGCGGTGCTCCACGAGGTGTGAGTTGACCCTGAAGGTCTTCCCACACTCGCGGCAGCAGTAGGGCTTCTCTCCCGTGTGGATCCTCTTGTGCTCGGTCAGGGACGAGCTGCGGCCAAAGCACTTCTTACACTCCTCGCACTTGTAGGGCTTCTCCCCGGTGTGGATCCTGCGGTGGCGAGTGAGCTTCGTGCTCTGCTTGAAGGTCTTCCCACACTCATTGCACTTGAAGGGCGTCTCCCCGGTGTGGATCCTGAAGTGGCTGCTGAGGGTGGAGCTGCTGTTGAAGGCCTTGCCGCACTCCTTACACTTGTAGGGCCTCTCCCCCGTGTGGATGCGGCGGTGGGTGAAAAAGTACCAGCTGTGTCTGAAGGACTTCCCACACACGTCACACTTATGTGGTTTCTCTCCCGTGTGGATTCGCTCATGCTCCACCAGGTGGAGGGTCTGGTTGAAGGTTTTTCCACATTCCTTACATTTAAAGTGATTCTTACCCTTTCGGGGGCTCTGAGGCTTTTTCTTGGAGCCCGTGGCACTCTGTGTTTTCTTACCAGTGCCTTTTTCCGGGGTCTTCTTTCCTTGACGGGTTTTCTTTGGTGCTGAGGTTCCTGGTTTTTGACTGGAAGGTTCCTTCGGGGCCCCGGGTTCATGCTCTTTCTCAGCAGGGGACACGTTCTCTGGTGCCGTGGTTGATGGCTTTTGATTCGAAGGTTCCTTTGGGGCCACGGGCTCATGCTCTTTCTCAGCAGCGGAGACATTCTCTGGTGCTGAGGTTGATGGCTTTTGACTCGAAGGTTCCTTCGGGGTCCCAGGCTCATGCTCTTTCTCAGCAGCGGAGACGCTCTCTGGTGCTGAGGTTCCTGGTTTTTGACTCGAAGGTTCCTTCGGGGCCACGGGCTCATGCTCCTTCTCAGCAGCGGAGACGTTCTCTGGTGCCATGGTTGATGGCTTTTGACTCGAAGGTTCCTTCGGGGCCCCGGGTTCATGCTCTTTCTCAGCAGGGGACACGTTCTCTGGTGCCGTGGTTGATGGCTTTTGACTGGAAGGTTCCTTCGGGGCCACAGGCTCATGCTCCTTCTCAGCAGCGGAGACGTTCTCTGGTGCTGAGGTTGATGGCTTTTGATTCGAAGGTTCCTTCGGGGCCCCGGGTTCATGCTCTTTCTCAGCAGGGGACACGTTCTCTGGTGCTGAGGTTCCTGGTTTTTGACTCGAAGGTTCCTTTGGGGCCACGGGCTCATGCTCCTTCTCAGCAGCAGAGACTTTCTTGCCTGCTCTTGTGTCTGGGCTGGGGCCAGCTTTCTGGTTACTTGGAGATGGCCTGTCCTCGCTTTCTGAGGCCCTTTCCGGGGCCCTTTTGGGAGCCCTTTCAGAGGCCTCTTCAGAGGCCCTTTTCAAGGCCCTTTTTGAGGCCCTTTCTGCCCTAGCACTCTGGGCGATAGCCCTTTGGATGGTTTTCTCTGCCTTCTCCTGTAGCAGAGTCTTTGAACTGTCTGGCTTCGGTTTTGTCTTTGATTTACGCCGTGTCTTCTTGCCTGAAAGAGATTCAGGATGCAAACATCCGTTTTATGTTGCTGTTTTGATTTTAAAGTGCTTTATTGGAGCATGTAACACATATACAAAGTTCATACACAGATAAAAAGTGCTCCATTTGATTAGTGCTCAAGAGTGAGCACACTCCTGTTCACAGCGCCAAGGTGAGGCTCACAGCAGCCCAGCAGCCCTCCCACCGCTCCCCTCACACTAACCACACGTGTCTGCACTGCCTGTTCTCACATACCTTGTGAAGATAACCGTGGTATGTACCTTTAGCGTCTGTATTTCTGCACTCCATGTTTCCTTTGTGACATTCATCAGTACTGTCTCCTGTCAGTGTAAACCATGCACTTGCACTGCTTACAGTATTTCATTGTGTAATATGCTGAAACATGCTTGGGTAGACCCCACTTTGGGGTCATTCTGAACAGAGCTGATGTGAACACCACAGCACACCTCCTGGTGAACACAGTTGCATGTCTGCTGGGGTCTACCCAGGAAGAGTGGTCAGGGGCTGAGAAGGTTTGTGTGTGCTGCTTAATGGTCTTCCCCCTGCTCCGCCCACGTGGACTGCCACCAGCGGCCTAGGGCATCCTGCGCTCTGTGCTGTTACTGAGTGAATGCCTATGTCTTGCCAAAATGCACATTTTGAGATCCCCATCTCTAAAGTGAAGGTACCAGGCCCTGAGCCCCTATGAGATAATTTAGGTCATTAGGATGGACCCCTTGTGAATGGTGTTTTTGCTCTGACAAGAAGCCAGAGACCTCTCTGGCTCCATCCACCATGTGAGGACACCTCAAGAGGCTGGCAGCCTGCCCCCTGAGGGAGGCTCTCTCATGCTGGCACCCTCGACCTGGACATACAGGCTTCAGAAGTAGGAGAAATGGATTGACCTTGCTTACAAGTTGCCCAGGCTTGCTTGGTTCTAACAGACAACAAAGCCCAACATCACATTCTTGTCAATACTCATACTTCTCCTTTAAGTCATCATGAGGGGATGTATCACTGGAAGCTGGTTTAGAAAGTTCAAGACTTACTGGGTAGCTGATAAATAACCAGGACTTGGAACTAGGGAAGCAGAAGCAGGAGTGTGAAAGAGGATCACTATTTGATGAGCATCACTTATTGTTATTTGTGAGTCTTATCCCTAAGACTCACAAATAACAATAAGTGATGCTCATTAAATAGTGATTATATTAACATTATTATATTTTAAATAATTATATTTTAGAATATAATTGTGCTACATAATACATTAAATAATCATGTTGTGTGTTATATACGACTTTTGGTTTTATCTGCTTCACATCTGGGACAATGGAACAAACGAGTTAGTGAAAAAAATCTACACACCCTGAGGTCAGACCATGGTGGGTAATAATAGTGCTGTGCTTTTCTAAGTCCACAGAGGGTTGGGAACCGGTGACATTTGAAAAGACGAAGGTCACGTACAAACCCACCAACAGAAAATGCCACCGACCTCTTTTCAAGGTTCTGGTTGAAGCAGTAACGGAGACCCAACGGAGGAGAGCTCTCGCGGGAGCAGAGAGCCCGCCAAAGGCCAGTCGGGCCGGCCGCGGGGCCACCCAGTCCCCCTGTCCCCCGGCTCACCTGCCGAGGCCGCGCTGGCAGCGCCTCCCTCGTCCTCCTCCCGCGGGGGGCCTCCGGGGGCCGGTCTGTCCTCCAGGGACGGATCGATGCCCTGCTCCAGCCTGGTGATCAATGTCGGCTTGAAGAAATGACACCCCACTACACACAAGAAAGAAGGTTCAGGCTTCCCAGAAGGCCTCGCCCACGCCAGTGCTGGCCAGAAGGCCCACGCGGGCAGAGGGGGCTCCCCGCGCCCCCACCCAGCGCTGGGACCTCGGCGGGATCCCTCGAGCGCGGGCTCCGGGGCAGAGCCGCGGGAGACGTCCGCCCACTCGGATTGGCTCCGCTGCGGTCACGTGACTCCAGCCGGCTCCAATCACAGAGAAGCCAACACTCGCCCTCCCTGCAGCCCGCGCGTTAGACGCGAGCACCCGGCTGGCCGCAGCTCAGTGCCACCACGAGCTGGGCCGGGAAAGGAGGAAGCCAGAGCCATGCCCGGGCCTTCTGTAAAGCTCAGAGCCCTTGAGAGGGCGCGGGGAGGCCGTCCTTACCCAGGGAGGCCAAATTGCTGTAGTTCTCCAGCATCACATCCTTGTACAGGGCCTTCTGCGCAGGCTTCAGCAGCTTCCACTCACTCTGGGTGAAGTACAGGGCTATATCCTTGAAGACCACTGGTTCCTGTAACACCAAAGCCCTGCGGCTCTTCACCCAGGGACTGGTCCCTCCCCTGGCCTCAGAGAGCATGTGCAAAGGTGTGCCAAATCCTGCATGGCCGTAGGCAGTGAGCAGGCTCCTGTTCCTCACCCTAACCCCGTCCATGGCACTCGCTTTGGCCAGTGGGATGTTGGTAAAGGGTGATATATGCAGAAACTTGAAAAAAACTTTGGTAACTGGCAATACTCTTACTGCCCCTCTACTGCTACCAGGAGAAAGAACATGCCCAGGTCAGCCTGTTGGAGCTGGCCAGATGTGTAGAGCCACACTAAGTCCCCCAGGCCCTTGGAGAGCCAGCTTAGACCAGCTGACACCCAGAGTGCACAGCCTGCTCCTAGGAAGGAGCCTCCTAAACAACCCCTTCTGGTAGGTATTCCTGAATTTCTGTTCTTTGTTGTGCAGCACTGCCATGTCAAGAGACAACTGCTGCGGTATGTTCCCAGTGTTCTTGTGGGGTTGGGAGGTGAGTGCATGCATGCTATGGAACATCAATGCCTGGAAGACTCCTGCCTGTCATCATTTGGCCATCTGGAAAACTCCCAGTTTCCCCATCGGTGATGTAGATACCAAGGATGGTTAGGAGCAGACTCAGGAGCCAGACTTCCTGGGTTTCACTCCTGGTTTGGCCACTTAATTAGCTGTGTGACCTTCGGCAAGTGATGCAAGCTCTCTGTGCTTCCACAGGGATAACAACAGTACCTCTCCTCCTGGGTTACTGTGAGGATTGAGTGGATAAGCACGGGTATCATGGTCAGTGCTTGCTATTATTCTAAGTATTGTTTAAATGTGGGTGATCCTAGGCAGTGGGAGATTGATGCAGACTTGGAGATCAGTTTACTCATGTATTCACCATTGCCAGGTGCTGGGGATAAGTTAACCTAACAGACTAGAGCTGTGGTGGACACAACATGCCTACGATTTTGCTCTAAAAATAAAAGTTATAGGTGAATGCATGGCTGCCCAAAGACTACGTTTCCCAGCATCCCACAGGGTCTTGTGACTACATTCTAGCCAATGGGTGTAAGCAGAAGTGACAGATCCATCTTTGCCTTTAGAAGGACCAAAGCTGTCCTTGCTTTCCCATATCCCCACTTACTTGGGGCAGAATGTGAACTGACACGGGGTGAGCCCCCTCGACCTCCTAGGGAGAGAAACAGGATCAAAGGAGCACGGTGGTGAGCCCCATGCAGTGGTCACTGCCCCCCCCCCACCCTGGATGTTCACACAGGGACCATCCCTGAGTGGAGAGCAACTCATTCTACCCATGTAGCTCCTGAATTCAGAAGACGGCAGCCAAACCTGTGTCCTTCCTGGGCTCACGGTTCAGGGCAGGGAGCAGAGAGATGGGCAGAGCCCAGGGACACCTGGATGCAGTGTGGCTGGTGCTGGAGGAGCGGTGCATGCCCACGAGCACAGAGGACACCTGTGCACGCGTTTTGGGGAACTCTGAAAAGGCTTGAAAGAGAAGATGACAGCCGAGCTGAGTCTCCAGGGACAGAGGCGTCCGCGAGGCAGAGCAGAGCAGTGGGCCCTGAAGGAGGTGAAGGGTGGAGCAGGCAGAGAGCTCAAGACAGGAGGAGGCTGGAGAGGCAGGGAGGTCAGCGCCGCGGGGCAGCGGGCCACATCCTGCTGGGACCCCTGGACAGGCGGCTTCCTGTGCCTTGTTTCCACATCTGCAGGATGGGAAGAAGAGCTAACAGTACTGCCTCTGGGGGATTAGACAGTAAGGGAAGAGCCCCAACAACATTTGTCCCTTGATAAGTTCCGGACACTCGCTAGCTGCCAGTTAACGCTGTCGCCTTAGCTGAGCTGTTGAAACTATCCGTTGTTGTAAAAATATGCCCACTTCTTTTCCAAGATAAAGCGTCTGCCTCAGTGCCACCACTTGGTAAACGGTAGGCAGGTCTATTGGTTTCTGTCTGTACTCTCCTCAGGGGTTATTGTGACACGCATGCTCACGAGTCCTCAGCTACTTTTGTTATTTCTCCACTTGCAAGAACAAACAGAGACAGGAACACTTCCACAACTCGCTACACTCATTGTGATCAGAAATGGGGCTCAAAGAGGATCAATTTTCCAAAACTGGAAAATTTCCCATCATTTACCTGCAAACACTTACATGATAGGCATATTCTAAGAACTGCACAATCCATTCTCTATCCTGTAATAACTCTGTGATGGGCTACTGTGACCAGCCCATTGACAGATGAGGGAGCTGAGAGGCACAGAGGAGTTCAGGAAATAACCCAAGACCACACAGTGGATAGTGGCCAAGGTGAGAGTCTAGGCTCATGGTTTCGCTGGGCTGGGTCCTAACTGGGGGGGGCATCAGTGGATGGGAGACTTGGGTCTCTACTCTGTGCCTCTCCCTCTGCAGAACCATCCTTCGCTAGCCCTGGGTTCCTCAGCCATGGCTCCATGGCCACTGGGGCCAGTTCATTCTGACTGAGCACTGTGGGTGCACCCCTGGCCTCCACCCATTAGATGCCAGTAGCATGTCCCCTCAAGTGTGGCAACCGAAACAGGTCCACACGTTGCCAAAAGGCCCTGGAGGGAAGGTGCTTCCAGGCGAGAGCCACAGCCTTCCTCCATGCTTCCCTTTCTTGGTTTGTGGGACAGGCAAAGACACCCACCCCCTTCCACTTCAGGGACATGCACATGGCCCAGGGTGGGCCCATGAGGGTCCGGCATCCCCCGTTATTGCTTGGTTAAATGGTGGGCATGTGATTCACAATGGGCCAATCAGAATATTTCCTACCCCTAGGTTATGGCTTGATCTAAAGGTGCCTCTTCACTGATTGCCTATTAGTTGTAATGAGGAAAACGGGAAAGTATTCAGTGGAGAAAATAGAAAACTATCTTGACCAGGATCAAAATGAGCAGCCACCATCGATGACTGACAGGCCACATGCAGACCCGGATGTGAGGCTCTAAGCAGGCACAGCATTACCTGTGCCTGCCTGTATTCTGGGCACAAATGCATAAGATCAATCTAGTTCAAAGAAAAATGCACCCCCAGACCCAAATGCAGCAGTGACTCTATAGTCTTCAAAAATATCAGTGTCATCAGAGGCAAAAAATGGCCAACAAGGTTTTCTAGACTAAAGGAGATTTCTTCATGACCACTAATTGCAACACTGCCACAGAAATAATCCTGCAGTGGAGAAGAGAGGATGCAAAAGTGGATGGCATTTAGCACATTTTCAAGACAGGGATGTTGAGAGCAGTTTTGATTAAAAGCATTGTACCAATGTTAAACGTATGAAGGTTATAACAGTACTGGGGTTATGTAGGAGAAGACTCTTAGGAGACACAGAAGTGTTTGGGGCAGGTGCTGTGTGCACTCTGTGCTCAATGGTTCTGAAGGTAATATGCGTATCATGATAGAGAGTGCAGAGGACGAAGCCAATAGGAGAAACATTAACAGATGGTGAAACCAGGTGCGCTTACTAGTGTTGCACTTTTCTTGTGAGTTTTAAATTATTTCCATAATATGCACATATATTTTCTCTGTGTTTGTGTGGGAGGAGTGTTGCTGGCACTAACAGGAAAGTCATTTCTGTCCTTTGGGATGCTTCTGAAGGTAGTGCTGGTGTGACAAGAGAGGCTGCCTCTCTGGATCTCCTTTCCAGCCTCTCATTCACCATAAGGGCCATCAGTGTAGCATTTCCACCTGTTTGGCAATCCTGGAGTCCCTCACAAGTCCCAGAGCCAATTCTCCTTGGCCAAGACTGAGTCACATGCCTGGCGCTCAGCCAGTCACGGTGGTCCTGGGCATAGTATGCTCTGATTGGCTAGAGGAATGCCAGGAGAAGGGACAGGATCTGCTTCACCCAAAATGGGTGGCAGACAGGAGTCTACAAGGAAAGATCAAGGGTGTAGGGGCTGGGGATGTGGCTCAAGTGGTAGCGCACTCGCCTGGCGTGCGCGGGGCGCTGGGGGTGCTGGGTTCGATCCTCAGCACCACATAAAAAAATGGAGTAAAGATGTTGTGTCCACCGAAAACTAAAAATAAATATTAAAAATTTTTTTTTAAAAAAAAGAGTGTAGAAAGGAGGGGGCAGCTGCCGGCCTCCACCCGCTGATCCTCTTTCCCTCCCTGCATTCACACTGCTGCCCCGTGCACTCCGCCCACTCTGCAGCCCGGCCGTTCCCAGGCCAGGGCTCTGTCAGTGAACAACAGATGACATTCCTGTCCTCCCCAGAGTAGTGGGGCAGCAGCGGATGGACACATAACAGCACACTGTCAGGTGGCAACCTTCCTCTGAAGAACTGAAGCATGATAAGGGGTAGAGAGCGATGGACTAAGTGACCGATTTGTTCTGCAGTGATGGGAATGTACCCAGGGTGTCACCCAAACTGGACTAGGGCTCCACCACGGAGCTATGTCCCCCGCCTGATAGGTAGCATTTGACCAGAGACAGGAATTAGGAAACCGGAGGCAGGGAAGAGAGGAAAACCACCCTCCTCTGGGTGCAGTGCCCACCAAGCTAGAGCAGGGTCTCAGCTGGGCAGAGACGGCAAGAAACATATCTGCCCTCTCCAAATAGAGCTGGCCTCTGGCCGTTGAGGAAACAATCAGCTCACCTTGCTCCAGGCTGGTAGAGATGTGGCCAGCAGTCTTCCCTTCCTTTTGGAAAGCTTGCTTGAGGTAGGACTCGGACTCTTCGGAGGCAGGGCTGGAGGAGGAGGGGGAGAGTCATGAGGCCAGCCTGGCATCTGAGGGCTGGAAAACTCACCCATAAAACCTTAGCAATGAGAGCAGTGACAGGAGCCAAGGCGGATGGACCAGGTTCTGTGCTTGGGTGCATACCTTTCATAGCAACTCTAGCAAAAGAAACCAAAAACAAGGCCCCTAATGGTATGCATGCTAAACTGCCACACGTATGAAAAAAAATTGTTCATAAATATGTGATAACAGACACACATGTGTAGTTGTTTGTGTGTGCCCAGAGCTTCCTGCAGGAACTGGACGGTACTGCCTCTGGGGAGTGAGGAAGCAGAGGCCGGGTTACTCTTGACCTTGACGGTGAAGTCAACACATGTGCAATCTTTTCCCTCCTCATCACAACATTTGACTCTGCAAGGCAGACGGGAAGGAGGAAATGCCCAGGAAACCCCATGCCCCTGACTGCACCACTAAGATTCTGCCGTTCACGTGGTCAGGTCTCCTCTGCCCTCTGTCAATCCATCTTAGAGTCTAGTGCAGTCCATAGCAGGTCACAGGCTGCAGTTCATTTCCTCCTAAGCATTTTTAGAGGCGTGTCCTTAGGGAGAGTTCATGATTCATTCGCCTGAGTTTAGGTAAGATTTACATACAGGGAAGCGGACACCTCTCAGGGGCATCATTCCAAGGAGTTGAGACACACAGAGACCTGTGCAACCAGATGCCCACTGAGATAGAGACCTCTACACATCTGTTTACACTTTCCAATCAAAACATGAGATTGAAAATGTTAAAAGAAAATTTAGTTCCCAGATTAAATCATACACATTGTTCTTAGCACAGGGTTTCCAGAGCAGAAATCAAACTGGGTTAGTTTGGCCTTGATCTTGGCCCTCAGGACCACAAAGCTAGAAATACCCCGCCTCCCTGAGTTGGATCGGGGAGGAGTTCACCCTCCCCACCTCCAAGACTCTTCCCACCTCCTGGAATCTCCTCACCTCCCACAATCTCCTCACCTCCTGGAATCTCACTTCCCTGTGCCTCCTCACTCCCCTGAGTTTCTCCATCTCCCATTCTAGAGTGGGGACAGCATGTGCAAAGGCTTGAGTCGGGTGATTTAAGGCCAAGAAAGGCTCCAGGGCCTGGATCCTGTGAGCCTGAGGGAGATGTGGGTGATGGAGTCAGAGGGCGACTGGGGAAAGGCACCCGGGCCACCGGGGTGGCATAATGGGTCAGTTATGAAGATCTCTGTGTTTTATGGCACCTCTGCCTGGGAGGGGCAGGTGGAGGGGCAGCCACCCAGGAGCATCCTTTCTGGCCCAGAGGAAGTGACAATCTTCCGAACATCTTCGCGAAATCAGTCTCAGGTTCTGTAGCACGGCAACATGCCACGTGACCCTCCTTTGGCTAAGCGACCAATGATGGGTCACCATCCTGGGGATCATCCCAGAGAGATGAAAGTGTCCACACGGCAGCCTAGAGATGCGCACCTTCACCCCCAGCAGGGAGAACCTGAGCCCACTCCAGCAGCCTCGAAAGGAAGCCCACTGGGGTCCACTGGCCGTGGGGAACGCTTCCTGGGAACCAGGTGTGTGGACTAAGCTTCCGTGGAGGTCCAACAGACCCAACCAAACAGAACCGAGGCACTCACGCCGGATGTGTTGAAATCAAGCCCAACTTCCAAACAAGCCGCTTTCCCCACACCAGGACATTAGCAGCAGCTCACCAGAGGGGCCCCTTACCCAACCAGATTGACAAGGAAATCTCTCTGCTTTCCCGAAAGTAAAGCAGCTTTGAAAAGAACAAAGTGGTTTACTTTGTTCCCTTTCTGCTTCTTCACCTTTTCAGCCTGTAAAGTGGTTTTCCACTGCTCCCTTCATCAGAGAACCTGAGTCTTTACATGAGATGCTACCCAATTCTAATTGGCCAATAAGAGCCACTGAAATCTGTTGGAAAAAAAATTTGTTTTTTTCTGGTACTAGGGATTGACCCCAGGGGTGCTTTACCACTGAGTCACCTCCTAGTCCTTTTCATTTTTTATTTTGGGACAGGTCTCATTAAGTTGCTGAGGCTGGCCTCGACCTTGATCCTCCTGCCTCTGCCTCCTGAATAGCTGAGATTACAGGAGTGTGCCACCATGTCAGACTTGCAGTTTTGTTTTGAACACTACTAGCCAGCAATAAAGAGGAATGAATGAAGTGTTTATGTGCAACAGAGCTAAGACAGGTCTCAAGCACACTGTGCAGAGCAAAAAAAAAAAAAAAGTAAGACCTCAAAAGGTCGCAGACTGAAAAGCTCCCATTGAACATTCTTTAAATGACGAAATTCAGAGGGAGAACAGAGGAGTAATTGATGGTGGGCAGGGGTGGGTTAGGGTTAGGGTTAGACAGGGAGCTCAGGTGGGCAGGGTGGGTGTGGCTCTGACAGGACAGGAAGTCAGGTGGGTAGGGGTGGGTGTGGCTCTGACAGGGAGTCAGGTGGGCAGAGTGGGCGTGGCTATGACTGGACAGGGAGCTCAGGTGGGTAGGGGTGGGCGTGGCTATGACAGGACAGGGAGTCAGGTGGACAGGAGTGGGCGTGGCTCTGACAGGCAGGGAGTCAGGTGGGCAGGGTGGGCGTGGCTCTACAGGACAGGGAGTCAGGTGGACAGGAGTGGGCGTGGCTCTGACAGGCAGGGAGTCAGGTGGGCAGGGTGGGCGTGGCTCTACAGGACAGGGAGTCAGGTGGACAGGAGTGGGCGTGGCTCTGACAGGCAGGGAGTCAGGTGGGCAGGGTGGGCGTGGCTCTGACAGGACAGGGAGTCAGGTGGACAGGAGTGGGCGTGGCTCTGACAGGCAGGGAGTCAGGTAGGCAGGGTGGGCGTGGCTCTGACAGGACAGGGAGTCAGGTGGGCAGGGTGGGCATGGCTCTGACAGGACAGGGAGTCAGGTGGGCAGAGTGGGCGTGGCTATGACTGGACAGGGAGCTCAGGTGGGTAGGGGTGGGCGTGGCTATGACAGGACAGGGAGTCAGGTGGACAGGAGTGGGCGTGGCTCTGACAGGCAGGGAGTCAGGTAGGCAGGGTGGGCGTGGCTCTGACAGGACAGGGAGTCAGGTGGACAGGAGTGGGCGTGGCTCTGACAGGCAGGGAGTCAGGTAGGCAGGGTGGGCGTGGCTCTGACAGGACAGGGAGTCAGGTGGACAGGAGTGGGCGTGGCTCTGACAGGCAGGGAGTCAGGTGGACAGGAGTGGGCGTGGCTCTGACAGGCAGGGAGTCAGGTAGGCAGGGTGGGCGTGGCTCTGACAGGACAGGGAGTCAGGTGGGCAGGGTGGGCATGGCTCTGACAGGACAGGGAGTCAGGTGGACAGGAGTGGGCGTGGCTCTGACAGGACAGGGAGTCAGGTAGGCAGGGTGGGCGTGGCTCTGACAGGACAGGGAGTCAGGTGGACAGGAGTGGGCGTGGCTCTGACAGGCAGGGAGTCAGGTAGGCAGGGTGGGCGTGGCTCTGACAGGACAGGGAGTCAGGTGGACAGGAGTGGGCGTGGCTCTGACAGGCAGGGAGTCAGGTGGGCAGGGTGGGCGTGGCTCTGACAGGCAGGGAGTCAGGTGGACAGGAGTGGGCGTGGCTCTGACAGGACAGGGAGTCAGGTAGGCAGGGTGGGCGTGGCTCTGACAGGACAGGGAGTCAGGTGGACAGGAGTGGGCGTGGCTCTGACAGGCAGGGAGTCAGGTAGGCAGGGTGGGCGTGGCTCTACAGGACAGGGAGTCAGGTGGACAGGAGTGGGCGTGGCTCTGACAGGCAGGGAGTCAGGTAGGCAGGGTGGGCGTGGCTCTACAGGACAGGGAGTCAGGTGGACAGGAGTGGGCGTGGCTCTGACAGGCAGGGAGTCAGGTAGGCAGGGTGGGCGTGGCTCTGACAGGACAGGGAGTCAGGTGGGCACGGGTCGGGGAGGCTTTGATGGGATAGGGAGAACTTTGTGCTGAAGAAACAGTTCTCTCTGGTAGCGATAACGGTTACATCATGCTGTAAATGTGATAAAACGACAGCGATCTTGCACACACCCTTCTCATACTGACTTCTTGTGTTTGATGTGTTGCCATCAAGTGAGACACAACCATGAGGGAACAGTGGATCAAAGGCACACAGGTGATTGACCTGTCTGGGCTGTTTTTGAACTTTGTATGAATCTGCATCACAGCGAGCTCAGCGGCCCTCTTTGTGGGCCAACCCACCAGCAAGACTCACGGGACTGAGCCCAGGTCACCTCCTGCCTGACCTCTGCACCCCATCTCCTCTAGTTGGCTTCCAGCATCTCCAACCTGCTGCCCTGCAACCCCTGGCCAGACAGCAGGATGTGAGTCTAGCTCAGGCAGGGCCACTAGGCCACAGTGAGGGTCCTGATGACCTCAGACACACCCCAAGACACACCCCAAAGGAAGTACCAGGACTCATCCCTATGACCGGAATGCCTTGGGGTTCCACCTAGGAGAGCCTCTGACCCTTTCCACCCCCAGGGGAAGCCAGAGGGAAGACTGGCTTGGAGGCCAGGCGGGCTCAGCATGCCTTGGAAGCCCTTCCCAGGCCTGCCCACTTCCCCAGGCTCTCACCTCTGTCATCTGAGGTCTCCTTGTCTTTGACGCAGCCACGACGCTGACGTGGCATTTTGTGCAGAGCAGGCAGAGCTCCTGGGAAGAGGGCTGAGGAGCAGGTGGCCTGAGCTGGAACTCTACACTCACTCAGCAGCTGGGGCCCTCAGGCAGAAGATGTCACCTCCCCAAGTCTTCTAGGTGTCAGCAGGGCCTCCCCCTAGAAAATCAACCAGCTGATTTGTGGAGAGCGCTTGGCAGAGACAGGATCATGGACTTCAGGGCCTGGGACTTGGAGAGGGTCTCTTCTCTCTAAGCAAAAGGTGGAAAAAATGTGTGAATGCTGCTGACACCCAGATGAAGTAATTCTTGTCAGACTCAGACAGAATGAGAGCCAGTAAGTTACCGAGAACTCTTCAAGGCCGTGGCCAGCGAAGTACTGAGGTAAGTACTTTCTAGAGGACTTTCTAAAGCCCACAAGAAGTTTCCTCTTGCTGTACACATACCCCATGCATTGCAAGCCTTGCCCAAATGCACAGAATCCCAGAACCAAGTTTATCTTTAACATCCTAAGATGCTCTGGACAGAACACTTGCTCACAATGGCACCTCCTCCAACTCTCACCTCAGGTCTCTGACCAGGGCACTCTGTATCCAAGTAGCTCATGTAAAGTTCTCCCTTTTCTGCTTATAAAAATTCCCCTTGCTTCAACCTTTAATATGTCCACAAGTTACTGTGGCATATGCCTTCCTTCTGCAATGTGCTGCAATTCCCAAACAAATGCCATTATCTTTGGAGACTCTCAGATTGTTATTAAGCTGACAATTATGCATGTAATCTGGCTCTGAAGGGGAAACTCATTTTACTGCACATCAAATCATCCTCTAGTGCCTAGAATATAGCCAGTGCTCAGTGAAGGCAGCTCCCAGTGAGCATTCAAATTCCCGTCTTTCTGACCCTGTTCTACAATGATGATGTTGGTTAGGGTGTGCTCAGTGGTAGAGCTCTTGTCAAGCATTCACAGGACCCTGGGTTAGATTCCTGGAGCCACAAGCAAACAAACAAAACAGACTTAAGAAACTAAAGTGACAGACAACATAGTAGCTCAGAACAAGACAGTGCAGACTTAAGAGGCTCAACTTCAGACCCAGTTCTGTTCCTGCTATGTTTCGAATGTGGTTTGTCCTCCCCAAACTCATGCAGGATATTTTTTTTTGCACAATACCTTTATTTTATTTATTTATTTTTATGTGGTGCTGAGGATCAAACCTAGTGCTTCACATGTGCTAGGCAAGTGCTCTCCCACTGAGCCCCAGCCCCAGCCCTCATGCAGGATTTTGAGCCTCAAAGTCTTAGGGTAATTATATCAAGAGAGTAGAAACTTAAGCTGACCATAGTGTTTAATGATGAGTCCTTTGGGAAGTGATTAGAAGATTAGGTCATTAGGTTGGAGCCCCTAAGATTGAGCCCTTTTCAAGGGGAGGGAGAGAGACCACACAGAGACACACAGGCATTCCAAACATGATCCATGCAGCCAAGGGGGCCTCCCAAGAGGTGCACCATGCTTTTGGGATGTCCCCCTCCCTAACTCTGGGCCAAAATGAGCCTCTTTGCTGTATCATCGACTGTAGGTATTTTACTATGATAAAGGAAAAGGGGCTGATCAGGTTCTTCACGTGGACCTAGGGCAAATGACCCTGCTACATTTGCCTGGGTGCCTCCCACTCTGAAGCGGGGTGTTATATGACTCCGCAGGACCACCATGAGGATGGAAGGGGCAGGCCATGTGGCCCCTGATGCTCTGCTTGGGGGAGGAGCAGTCCTGCAGCAAAGCTGGGTGTTGGAAAGCTCAGATGGGAGTGCTCTGCCACCATCATCACGGGTGGCAAGGTCTGTGTGGAAGGGAAGGGGGATGGTTCCCAGCCTACCACTCACTAGATGAGAGACCTCTGGGATTGAGTTGCCAGATTATGTAAATAAAAATAGAAGGTCCACACTGAAAACAACTTTCAGATTAAAGATGCATAGTTTTCAAGGGTAGGTATATCCCTGTTACTGCCTGGGACACACCTATGCAAAAGAACGATTTTTAAAATGTATTTAATAAGTTACTTTTAAGTAGAGGTATGTCCTATATATGCAATATTTGATAATTACTAAAAAGCAATTTTTGTTTGTCTGAAATTCAAATTAAAGTAGGTGCTCTATACTTTGCTCAGTGATCTGAATACTGGGTTGGTCACTTAACCCTCTATACATACTTTAGCTTTCCACTCCATAGAAATGAGAACAAAAATGACTAAATATGAAGACTGAACGTCTGCATGCCTGTCAAGGAATTCACAGTGCCTACAGCAGAGAAAGGCAGCGGAACGGCTGGCTTCACTTTCATTGTTAGCAGGGCTGAGAGTCAAGGGGTCTCTTCCTCCACTCTGTCCCCAGCTTCCCTGCACCATGTCCCCGTCACTGAGGTCTTCACCTGGGTCTCACATGATTGTCCTCCAACCCACCCCATCTAGTCACCAGAGAAAAGCAAATTGCTGTTGAAGAAAAAGATGTGTAGGTCACACAGCTTCATACTGAGATCAGGGACCCATGGCCAGGGACCCATGGCCAGGTGGTTACAGGTCAAGGGCTAGGCTTGGCACGAAGGCCATGCACTCCCTCACATGAGCCTCCCCAGACTGTGCAATCTCCGACTCGCGGCTGACTTTGACAAACTCACAGGCACTTCCCATTGCCCCACAGGTCCTTTTAAAAAGACATTGAGACCCACTGGCAGACCCTCACACATGTGCAAACACAGCTTCAAACTTAGGGGAGTCCCAGACTGTTGGACACACATTTTCAGATAATGACCGGGCACACCTGGGCACACAGACACATACATCCTGACATACACTCCAGGGAAACTGAGAACCCACTTGCTCAAGCTGGACCTGTCCGTGAGTGCCCAGATCCCTCCACGCACATGCAGGCACAGACATGCACACAGCCCATCTGCAGACGGACATCCTGGAACTTCAAGTCATCCTCCGAACGCAGACCCTTGGACAGCATCCCCTGTCTGCCCCTCAGGGGCGGCTCCCTGCACTGGAGCACAGCCACTGCAGAGCCCCAAGCCCATCCAAGCCCCTCACCCACAGCACTTCCATAGGAGTCCTGCCTAGCCAGAACATTTCCTGAGGACTCCCAGTTCCATGCTCCCCAAAGTATCCTCAGTCTCCCCCCAAATCATCTTCTTGTGCCCCCATCAGGGAAAGGGGATAACTGGCCTCTTTGGTCCCCAACTGATCTGTCCAGCGTCCTGGAAGACTTCCTCCATCCCCCACCAGACTGGCGGTTCCCAGACCCGACCTTCCTGCTCCTAGATCCCTCCTGACCCGGCCAGGCTGCCTGTCCTGGAGGAAGCACCACGTCCTCCTTGGGCCGGTCCCCGTCTCCTCAGTCTCTTCTCTCTCCTGGTGTCCAGGGACATCAGGGGACCGAGTCGTCCTGCGGCTCAGAAACGCCTGTGAGCGGCTAGTCGAGTCGGGGGAGGCCGGGGTCCCTAACACGGCGCGGCAGTGGCTGGCTGCAGCCCTCGCCCGCCGCGGCGTTCAGCAGACACAAGCAGGGCGGCGGTCCGGACACGCCGCCACCCGTTCCCGCCGCGCCCAGCCACGGGGGCCGTCCTCGGGCAGGGGGCTGTCCTTGGGGCCGGGAACTGTCCACGGGGGCTGTCCTTGGGCTGGGGGCTGTCCTTGGGGCTGGGGGCTGTCCTTGTGGCCGGGAGCTGTCCACGGGGGGCCGTCCTCTCGGTCTGGGGGCTGTCCTTGGGTCCGGGAGCTGTCCACAGGGGCCGTCCTAGGGCTGGGGGCTGTCCTGGGGGCCATCCTGAGGCCAGGCCGTCCTCGGCCTGGTGCCTTCCTGAGGGACAGTGGGCTTTCCTCAGGGCTGGGGGCGTAGGGGAGGCTGTCCTCAAGACTGGGGGGCTGTCCACAGGGGCCTTCCTAGGGCCGGGGGCTACCCTGGGGGCCACCCTCAGGTTCAAGGCTGTCCTGGGGGCTGTCATGGGTGGGTCGGGGCTGTTGTGAGGGTGGGAGAGTCTGTCTCTTGGGTCGGGAGCTGGGTGCGAGGTTGTGTTTGGAGGAGTCGAGCTGTCTTGGGGCTGTAGTGGGGCTCGGGTCGCTCCGCGGCGCCGTGCTTTCTTGGGGGCTGACCGCCAACAAGGCCGTGCGTGCGGTCTGGACGTGAGCGACCTCAGCCTAGCCGGCCCGCACGCGCACTCACAGAAGCAACACCGTCGTGCAGGCGTGCAAGCAGACTCGTGCCACGCAGGCCTGCGACGCGGCACACACGCGTGACCGCGCAGACCCGCACACCCTCATGGTCCCACGACGCCCATGCACTCGCGCACTCCGAAGGCACACCACCACTCCAGGCGCACGCCACCAGACACACACCACCAGGCTCACGGCGGGGCGGCCCGCGCGCGCGCACTTGCTCGCGCGCGGCCCGCTCTCCCGCGCACGTCCTGCGAGGCGGTGGCGCGCGTCCGCACCCGGGCCCGTCGGGCCGTCGCCGGGCAAGACGTGCTAGCTGAGTTGCGGGACTCGCTCGCAGCGCACAGGCCGTCCGGCCACACGCGCCGCACAAGGGACGCGGGCAGGCGCGCGGGCCCCGCCCCGCGAGGGCCCCCGCCACCCGGACCCGACCGTGGAGCCCGACGGCCGTGCCAGAAGGCAGGGCGCTCGCCCGTGGAGGACTACAAGTCCCAGAAGGCCGCGCGCCCGCCGGTGGAGGACCACAAGTCCCAGAAGGCCGCGCGCCCGGGCACCGAGGAGAGGCCGCGCGCGGGGGCCGCCGGGAGAGGGAGTCCAGGCGCGGCGCGTTCGCGTCAGGGCTCCCTGTCTGCGGGCGGCAGATGCTTTGGGTAGCTCTTTTCCGAGCGGGCTCTGACGGCACGCCGGGGCACCTGTGTGCCCATCGTCTCAGGGCGGGGTGTAGGTCCCAGCCGCTGCCGTCTCCTACGACACCGAGGGGCGTGGCCGAGCCTAAGGGGCTGCCCGCGGTAGACAGCGCCGGGGAGCGCGGGGCCGGCGGGACCCGGGGACGGTCGCTCGGCCGCCGCCCCCGCCGCCCCCGCCGCCCCGCGTCCCTCCCGAGGTGGAGTAGGGACGTCGCCTAGGCCACCCGCCTTGGCACAGCGTGCCCCCTGGGTCGCGGCCTCTGCTCCTCTGCCATCACCGTGAAGGGGTGGTCCTCTGGCCTCGGGAGCGCGTGGGCGTTCTGGACCCCCGCTGCCAGCCGGCCGGGACGAGCAGGGCCACCTAGGCAACCCCAGGACCGGGGGGGGGGGGGTCCCCAATGTGTGAGAAGTGCACACCGCGCGCCGCGCGGTTCAGAGGTGGCTCAGGCAGCATCGCCAGGACTGGGCTTGTAAGTGGCACAGGTGTGCTAACAGGCTGGTCAGCAGAAAGAAGTGTCTCTACTTCACGGATGGGTCAGCACTGCCCACGGTGAAGGTGTGTGTGGGCACCTGCCCCGAGTGTCTGGCGGGCCGGGTAGGGAGCCATTCTCATCCCCGCCTGCCCAGGAGAATAGCCAGCTTGCCCGCTCCTCACCTTGCAGTGTTCCTGTGCCAAGGAGTAGATTCTACTTGGATCCAATATCCAGTAGTTCTCAGTGTGTTGCTTTGGCCAACAAATGGATTATCTATGTGTCATGGTTGGGTTGAGTGTCCCCAAAGGCCCACAAGTTACAGGGTGGTGTTGCCAGGCTATGGTGGTGGCTCCTTAAAGTGGGGCCTAATGGGGACCCTGGCCTCTTGGTCTCACTTCTGCTTCTTGACTCATGGAGTGAGTAGCTTACTCTGCCACATACTCTTGCTGTAATGTGCCCCCCTTGCCAGAGGCCCAAAGTGATGGGGCCACTAGATCTTGGACTGGAGCCTCCAGAGCCAGGAGCTGAACTAAGTCTTTTCGCTTTGTAAGTTAATTGCTCCAGAGGTTGTGTCGCAGTAATGGAAGGGGAAGGGCATCAGCCCGGCTCTATGAGGCACTGTTGTGATGAGGCATCTGGAACCAAGACTCCCTCTGGCCACGTGGCTTTCTCTTTCCAGGTCAGTTTTCTCATCAGCATGCCCAGCCCTAACCTATAGGACTGCACAGTTAGCTCTCAAGTCCTTTTGAGTCTGACTGGACACTGGGAACCCATGAACCCAATCCTCTAAGGCCAGGGGAAGTCAAGTCTCAGGGCATACGCTCAGAGACGGCAGGGCAGTTATCCTCCCCTTCAGGGTGTGGTTGTGAGGGCAGGAGGGCTGCTCAGGCCACTGCAGCCAGCGCCCACTTCACTGCCTTCCCTACTACCTGCTGTAGAGACTCTTCAGGAAAAGCTTTAGCAAAGGGTGACCCTCTCACCTTGGCTGATCACAGAATGACCATCTAAGCTGTGAACCAAATAGATGCCACAAGAGATGACCACAATTCAACAGGCTTTCATTTTAGTGTGAACAAAAGGTGAGTTCTAAGAATCTGAAAAAAAATCAGGACCTATCGAATGCCAGAGTGGTTAGAATTACACCAGAAAAACCCTTTTACATCTTTACTGCAAAACCCAACCACAGTGTGTGCAGAGGCGTCAGAGAGGGTGGGGTCATGGGAGCAGGGACGCAGCAGCCATCAGGTGGGTCACCAACACTGATCCCATCAGCCACAAATGGAAATCTCTGGTCATTATGGGATAACGTGCACGTGTAAAGATTTCCTCCTGAATTACCTGCGGGGTAACCTGATGCGTTGCATGGGTGTTGAAGCTGGGTTAAAGTGTGGTTTGTGGACTGAAGAAAGATTGCCCCAGGGATAAACATCTTTTAACAAGAATTAGGAATAGATGTGTCACAGATTCTGAATCCCGATATTGGCATTTTTACATTGAGGGTTCGTGAACAAGCAAATCTCAAATTTCCATTTGCAAATGACCAGTCAAGTGACTGAAATATTTGTGGTTATTCTCAAATTTAAAAACACTACTGGAACATAAGTGCAGTTAAAGAAAACATGGAATCAAGGAGTATGAAAAGATCCTATGGAGCAACTTAGCAAGACCCTGTTTCAAACAAACAGAATAGGTTGAGGACGTGGCTGATGCATCCTCGTGGTTAAGTGCCCCCAAGTTTAATCCCTGGTATCAGAAAAAAAAAATCCCATGGAAGTAATTATTGAATCAGCCAATACCCAAAAACATAAGATCTGCAAGCCAAATGAGGCACAAAGCGTCTGAATTTATAACTTCAGCAAAAAGCACACCTTAGCAAACCCCTGACAGAGACAAAAGAGACTGAGAAATGATTATTTTTAACTTTATTTTTATTGTTGACACTATTACAGATAGAACGATCACAACCATATCAACAAATCGAAAACCTGTGCACAAGAAAGATGATGATGAAGACACATCAAGATGCTGACCACAGTCGTCGGACGGTGGAAACATGGATGAGTTTCTCTTCTACATTTCCACAATGTCAAGGTTTACTATAGTGGACACATACTGCATGGGTGATGGGAACGTAGGGGGTGAAGGGGACTACTGACCACCGACAAAGGCCACTCAGAGAAACTGAGGCAGCACGCTTCCCTGTAACCCCACAACCACCTGTAGCTCTCAGCCGCTCTGTCTTCCCGTCTCCGACACGCATGGGGACGTATCGTGAGCCCCCAGACCACAGCCCCACGTGTTAGCAGCAGCAATTCTTGGGAATACAGGTGAATTTCCTTCTCTTTTACTAACTTCCCAGTTTTCTATGAGTATGTATTATATTTGTAAAGGGAAAATACATACATTAAATTTGTCACCAAAACACCAAAGATTATTCAAGAAATTTTAGACAAAATATGTAGCCAGAATCCCACAATGACAACACTAATTTAATTATTTTTCACATTTTTTTTCACTTTTTGATTTGATGCACACACATTGAACACCATCACACCCACAGGCTGTGCACTGGAACAACGTGGAGGAAAGGACCGAGATGCTGGCGGAGTCCATGGGCTGGGGATGTGTGTGAATCGTTTTTATTTTCCAATTCTGCTCTGTTTTCTAATTTCTCCTCTGGGTATATGTTACACTTATAATGTAGACATACACAATAAATGTTATCAGGACACCATTATAAGGAACACTGGAAAAATTAAGATAAAAGGATTTAACCATAATTCCAAAAGGGTACCATACAGCTATCTTGAACACACGTTTTGACGTGGTTATAATTATAAACCTGTGTAAAGAAACAAGAATAAACAGGATGCTTTCGAGTGAATCTGTCTTTGGATGGTGGGGATATGGAATTTTTCCTCCACTTTGTGTTTTCCAAGTGTTTGATGAATTCCAATTATGTTCACAATGGAAATGTGATCATCAACTTTAACAGCACTACCATAAAGAACATTCAAGAAAGTTAAGAAAATGATGCTCAACTATAAGCGTACAACAACACAACAGCTTTTGACTATAAGCATACATTTTAAAGTTATAATTGTAGTATAAATATAATTTTGTGTCCTGCTTTCTCCACTTAATCTTCCGTAAATATATTTCCATGTTGCTACATAACTCTTTATGATTATCATTTTTAAACAGCTGCATAAGAGTCCAAAGATACGTTCACTTAATTCTTAGTCTACTGTTTGGCATTTAAGTTTCCAATTTCTCATACACGTAAGGTTGGAACAGACACCCTTCTTGGCAAGTTGCTTTCTGAAAAGGGTCTAGTGATTCACACCGCCTATGGCACTGAACCCCCAAATTCACTCTGATGACATCCACACTGATCCCAGTCCAGGGCCCTCTCACTGGGGATGCCTCACGGGCGTTTCCCTGGATGCCTGCTCCGACTATGGGTCTTTCTGTGCAGCTTCCCACACTCTGCCTCCAGGACACCACCCACCCATCCTCACCCCTGCTCTGGCGCTCCCTCTGTCTCCTGGGTCTGCGGGTGTGCTAGGATGCCCTTCTTTGGCTTACTCAATTCTGTTTCTTGCTCTCAGCTCTCCAGCCTCCTAGACTTTGGCATTCCCTGCAGCTTGGACACACTCCCCGGGAGCCCTAGACCTGCGGATCTAAAAGAGTAAGATTCAAATACGTTTCCCTCGGTGGATATTTTAATTTTGCTTGTTCAAATGATCTGCGCTTGTCTTTTGCTTACTTCAATAGAGATCCGCTTTTTTTTTTTTTAATTTTTAAAAATTTTAAAGTTTTTTTTTTTTTTCCAGCCAACTCAAGGCCAAAAATTTTCTTAATATAGCCATTATGCGAGGGGAGAAGCAAAGGAGCACTGGATGTCCACAGCACAGGACAGGGGAGACCTCAGGCTGAGGTCAGTGTGTGATCAAGAGGAAAACCGAGATGGGACGACACGACACCTATGGATAGGTCAGAAGCGCCTAGAAGGCCTGAAGAGAAGAACAGATGGAAACAAAACAGATTAAGGCTGCCGGGGAACCTGAGTCCGTGTTAAGCTTGGGCTAACTGTAAAGGAAGCTTTTTTTTTTTTTTTTTTTTTTTTTTTTTAACACTTTTTAATTTTTTTAAAATGCAAGTTAGACATGGGATTAGAGAGTCAGGTAAAGAAGAGAATTAGGTTTAAGCAATAGAAAGATCTAAGGATACTAGCTCCTGGGCACCCAGGGAGCAAACTGACTTGTGGCAGCACACATGCCACATAGGTGACTCAAGCCATGTTGCTACTTGTCACTTAAGGCAGGAAGCATTCAGAAGAAGTGATGAAAGGTTGTCAGCCTGCTTCCTTATGTACAGCAGCGAGTCTGTCCTGTGGTTCTCAACCTTCATTAGGCACTACTGTGATCTAGTGATGGTTGCAACCCATTCTTTAAAGGCAAAGACTTAGGATTTATGGGGAAAAGCATCACATTTTAAATTCACTACTGAACACACATTATGTTGGTTTAAAAAAAAACACTTTAAAAAAAACACCCAAATTGTAATATTTTCGCACGAGAACCACTGCAAGGTACACACAAAGGGGACAGGTTGACCTGGGTCACAAAGGCCAACCTATAAATTGTAAAGGCTCACACAGCGTCAGGTCGCAAGGTGTTGGTGCAGACGAAATGGCTGTACAAGGAAGCGAAAATCACCCCTTTTTTCAAACAGCAAAGAATAAAGTCATGTTACTTTTCCTGTCTACACCTTCACGAGATTAGAAACGTAGCAGTCAAAGATACTGACGGGGTTCAAATAATGCACAAGGAATCTTTCTGAGACCAAAGACACTTACAGATATATTCTACTTTGTTGCTCTCTCCCTCCTCCAAGAACAAAAAATTAGAGTGTCAGGTGAGATACCTCTGCACAGTAAATTGCAACTGTGTATCATATTAAACCCAAACACGTGATCCCCATTTTGCTACGTTCTGCTCATTTATATACACTGCAGGGAACCTTCTGTTTAGGTTATAGGAGCATCATTTACAGATGATTGGGCCAATCTGTCGGGTTGACTCAATCTGGTAGCTGGGATAGACGTAAGATATGTGCTATAGCTTTCCCCGTGCAGACGCTGATGCTCACGGGGAGAGCTAAGGCTGAAGGAGTATCCACGCTGTCTGGCTAATCTGAGCTGTCTGATGTTAAGTCAGGTGTGCACATGCTAAGGTAAGTTTCCTACTGACATTATCATAGTCTTGTGTTGGGTAAGGGTCCAGTTCTAGGTGGAGGTTTTCCAACTTTTACACTTAGCCAGTGTGGCTGTTCTGGTGCCTGGCAAGGGACAGGCGGTCACTGAAGAGCTGCCCACAGACATCACATCTGAAGTGCTTCTCGTCGGCTGGCTGGGTGCCTCCGGTGCTGGTGCTGGCACGCTGGATGTAGCCTGAGCACTCCCCCGGGGCGCCCGCGGGCTCCAGCATGACCATGCTGGCCTGGGCCTTCAGGGGCCCACCCAAGGCTGCGCTGCACGGGAAGGTCTCTGTGCACTCCTTGTAGCCATCATAGGGCTCTTCCACCTCAATCTCCTCGTCTTCACCCTCCTCTTCCGGATCTCCCACTCCTAGGCCCTCAGGCCCGTCGGCATCTCCTTCTGGCCCTTGGGCTCCCTCCTCTGGGTCTTCAATCCCTACACCATCTGGCTCATCTGCATCCACAATTGGCTGCTCGGCTTCTCCATGGGGCTCTGCGGCCTCTCCTCCTGGCCCTTCGGCCTCTCCATTTGGCTCGGCAGCTTCTACTTCTGGCTCGGCAGCCTCTACCTCGGGCTCGGCAACCTCCACCTCTGGCTCAGCAGCTTCTATGTTTGACCCCTGAATTCGCAGGATTTCTTGTGGAACGAGGACATTGGCTTCAACTTCCTGGGCAGCAGCAGCTTCTTCTTCCTCCTCTTCCTCCTCCTCTTCCTCCTCCTCCTCTTCCTCCTCCTCTTCCTCAGGGTGAAACACCGTGTGCTTGGTTAGGACCGTGTCGTGGATAAAGGCCTGCCCACAATCTTTGCACTCATAGAATGGCATTGGTTTCCTGAAGGGCTCTGCAAGGAATGAAGTGTGAGTGTAGGAGGGCCCATATTCATAGGGCTCATCCTTGTGGACCTTGGTGTGGTGATCGCCAAGTTCTTTGGCAGTGAAGAAGCACTCTCCACATATTGTGCATTCAAAGAGCTTCTCCTCGGTCTCACTTCCCTGGAACTCGGTGAGGGCGAAGCCATGAATGAGGACTTCCTCAGCCATCTCGCTCTGCTCCAGTAATTCATCCTCCCTGTGGTGTCTCATGTGCTCATTGAGAGCAGAGCTATGAATGAAGCCCTGTCCACACTGAAGGCATCGAATGGCCGACCCAGCAAGAGCAGGATTCCTCTCCGCAGCACGATTCCTCCGTGGCTTCACAGGCAAGAGGGAAATAAAACCATCATCACATCCCTTCATGGAGTACAGCTGGTCTTGCTCATGGACTCTCTGATGCTCAAAAAGGAAGGAGCTATGAATAAAAGATTCCCCACATTTTGGGCATTCAAAGAGCTGCTCACCAGTGAACTCCTTCGAAAACTCATTGATGGAATGGACGTGAACTTGAGACTCTGTGTCTTTGCTACTGTCAACACTCTTTCTGATGTGGACATCCTGATGACCTGTGAGATCTGTGAGATCCGCAAATCCCAGCCCACAGTCCTGACATTCATAGATTGTGTCATTTGGGTCATCCTTCTGGGGCTCCTCCAGATCTGACCCCTGAATGACAGTGTCTTCAACCATCTCCTGATGGTGGGTCTCCTCACCATGGGCTTCTACACCATGGGGCTCCTCACCATGGGGCTCCTGACCACGGGGCTCTTCGCCACGGGGCTCCTGACCACAGGGCTCCTGGCCACGGGGCTCCTGGCCACGGGGCTCCTTGCCATGGGGCTTCTGACCATGGGTCTCCTCACTGTGGGGCTCCTGACTGTGGGTCTCCTGATGATGAGTTTCCTCTCCAGGGGGCTCTTGACCACGGGTCTCTTCACCCTGGGGCTCCTGGGCAGGAGTTTCCTCTCTGTGGGGCTTCTGAGCAGGAGTTTCTTCTCCATGGGGCTTCTGAGCACAGATCTCCTTGCCATAGGGCTCCTGGGCAGGAGTTTCCTCTCTGTGGGGCTCCTGAGCATGGGTATCCTCGCCATGGGGCTTCCAAGCACAAGTGTCCTCTCCATGGGGCTCCCAAGCATGAGTGTCCTCTCTGTGGGGCTCCCGAGCACGGGTCTCTCTGCTGTGGGGCTCCTGACCTCGGGTGGCCTTGCCAGAGGACTTTTCTTGGGTGTAGATGTTCTGACGTGCACGGAAGAAGCTGCTGAAAGCAGAGCTCTGCCCTGACTCTCTACGTTTGTAGCGTGCTTGCTCTTCAGCATAGCGCTCTTGGGCATAACTCGTCTGAGGGTCAGTAGGGGCCAAGCTGCGAATGACAGATCGCTCATAAATTCTACTTCCAGAGGGCTTCTCTCTATTGTGAATCTTCTGGTGCTCAGTGAGGTCAGAGCTACGAGCAAAGCACTCCCCACATTCCTGACATTCATACAGCTTCTCTCTAGGGCGAACTGTTTGCAGTTCACCAAAATGTAGGGAATGGATTACAGAGGTCTCGTTGCCCCTGTGTTCGATGTACTTCTTTTTAGCACGCGCCTTCTGGTGTTCACGGACATTTGAGCTGGGAAGAGAAAATTTGGCATCTTGCTTGAATTCACTGGATCCCTCTCCAGCGAGACTTCTTTGAGGTTCAGCATGAGATACACTCGGCATAACAGAATCCTTATAGTTGTTATTCTTACCCGCTTCAGAAGGGTTCTCTCTGGCAGCAATCTTCCGTCGCTTATTATTAAGGTCTGAGATATAAATGGAGGATTCTCCCTTCTCATCACATTCATTTTGCCCATTTCCACTGTGACGTTTCAGGGGTCTGGGAGCAGCCAGGCTATGGATGACAGACCTCTTGTGCTCCTTCCCTTCACAGGCGCTCCTAGCGGCAGCTGAGCTCTGAATGGTGGACTCTGCGACTGCTTTTAGTTGACTGGGCCCTGCTACACTGTGACTTCTCAGAGTCTCAGCAGGGGTAAAGCTGTGGATCACAGACCTCTTGTAGAATCGCCCTGTGGTGGACACCCGCTGGTCTTCATCAGGGTTGCTGCTGATGGTGAACGCCTTCTCATCCTCCTCATCTTCAGGGGGTCTTGTTATAGTGTGACTCTTCTGAGACTCGGTGAAGGGCGTGCTGTGAGTGACAGATTTCTCGTATGCCCTGCTTTCAAAGAAGTTCTTCCGAGCATGGATTTTCTGACGCTCGCTGAGATCGGAGCTTTGCATGAAGGCATCCCTGCCATCTGTGAAGGCAAAGAGCTTCTCCTTGGTGTAAGTCTTCTGACGCCTTTTAAGGGACTGACCAGGAATAAAGGTTTCCTCACACACTTTGCTTCTGTTTTCAAATGGGTTTCCTCTGGTGTGGACTTTCTGATGTTCCTTCAGGGATGAGCTATGAAGGAAGGTCTCCCCACAAACCTTACACTCATAGATCCTCTCCTTATCATACATTTTCTGAAATTCCTTCAGGGCTGCGTTGGGCATGAAAGTTTCCCGATGTTCACGCTCAGGCTCACGCTCATTATCTCTGTCTTCTCCAAAATTCCCTCTGTTGTGGATCTTCTGGTGCTCAATCAGGGCGGAACTATGAAGGAAGGTTTCCTTACAAACCCTGCACTCATAGAATTTGTCTTTGCCATATATCTTCTGAAGCTCACTGAAGGTTGGGCTAGGCATGACGGTCTCCTCGTGCTCCTGCTCCCTGCGCTCTGCACGGCACTCTCTAGCATGGATCTTCCGATGCTCAGCCAGCGCAGCACTCTTATTGAAGGTTTCCCCACACTCCTTACACTCGAAGCGTTTCCCTCCACCCTGACCTTTCTGAACCTCACTGACTGCCACACTGTGAATGAAGGACTCCCCATACTCATAGAGGTTCTCTCTGGTGTGCATGATCTGGTGCTCAACAAACTCTGAGATGACACTGAATGACCGCCCACACTCATCACACACATACGCCATGGACCCAAAGTCCACTGACTGTGACTCGGAATAGGAGGAGGAGCCGAGGCCACTTAGGCTACTCATGCTCATGGCCTTTCTCATCTCACTGCCACAGTCAAAGGGCTTCTTTCTGGCACAGCCATTATGATCATGGACTGTGTCAAAATGATAGCGCCTTTTTCTTTCTAGAACTCTCTTTCTGGAAACAAGGCTTGAGTTGAACCTGAAGCCCCCCCTGAAGGCACTCCCTTCAGAACCCCTCTCCTGGATCACTGACTCCCTCCTGCTGAAGGCAGCGTCCTTCCAGGTATCATCTGGCATTCTGGGGAGCCTCTGTGGCCGATCCTCCAGCTCCCTTGCTCTTCCTGATCTGGGGCCACGTGACACATCCTTGATGAACTTCTCCATTATCACTCCATGGCAAGATTCGTCCTCACAAATTCCGCGCCGGTGAGAGGGCTTCTTGGCTTCAGGCATGGTTTTCAGACCTGGAAATAAACCCCAAACATAAATACTCCCTAGCCCATGTACTTGCACAAGGTGACCACAGGAGCTGGAGGGCAGCACTCTGCTGCGACGCCTGGGAATGTGTCTCATGGCTAGGTGGCTCCTCTGTAGATCAGCCTGGGGCTTACCTCGGCTGGTGCTTGGGTAGACACTTCTCCTGGACCTTGATGAGTGGCCTTGGGTCATGTGGGAATGGCGGTCATCTTCAGCAAGTTGTACCCCTGGTCACAAGAGTACAACAGCTCAAATTGGAGTTGGGGAATAAGACTCATCACCATAAACTGATTTTCATTTTCTCTGAGCTACTAAATATAAAGTAGCTCATTTCTAATTATTTGACTATCTTTCATTTACTGACGCATTTTCCTACCATCCATTCCCTAACGTATTCCATTCTGCATTTTAATTCTCTTAATGACACCCAAAAATGTGTAAAAGACTTCATGTGCCTGGGAACTTGGTGCACCTCTTATAGTCTTAAATTCTTGTCACTCTCTCTTTCACTGCCCTTCATGGCCGGTCCTCCTCCTCATTTTTTGTGGAGCTGGGGATTGAACCCAGGGCCTTGTGCATGCGAGGCAAGCGCCCTACCAACTGAGCCACATCCCCAGCCCTTGCTCCTTTTTTTTGTTTTTTTTTGTAGTTGTAGATGGACAGAATGCCTTCATTTTGTCTTTTATTTTTATGTGGTGCTGAGGATCGAGTCCAGTGCCTCAGGCATGCTAGGCAGGCACTCTGCCACTGAGCCCCAGCCCAGCCCCCTTCCTCCTCCTTTTTGATAGTCCTTCCCTACCTGCTGTCTAACATCAGGCCTATACCAACAACTGTCTGCTACCAACTGGGGCTAGATGTTCTTCGGGTGGAGTTCACGCAGAAACTCAAGACCCATTCTAAATGTGTTTTTAAAAATCTCTGCTGTCATTTATTCTAGAAAAAAATATTAACTCTGTGTCAAGAGCCATCTCCTTGATCACAACTACCTGTACAAGCTATTCTTCAACCAAAGTCAAGAGATTTCTTTAAAAGGCATTTAAAAATCTCTTGCTTGAAAATTTTCAAAGGCTTCTTATTACCCTTGAAGTCCAACTATGTTAGCGTGAACTCATCCTGCAACTTGAAACAACCATAGTGACAAAGTGGCCCAATGACCAGACTGAGAGTGAGAGAAGCAGCTCCTTACCCAGAGAGAGCAACTTCCTGTAGTTCTCCATGTTGTCCTGGACTGGGTTCTGAGGTTTCCTGTCCTGGTTGAGGTTCACGACATTCTGGTATGATTCCGCATCCTAAAAGAACAAGCACAGACCTCTCAATGGGGTCTATCCGCATGGATGTCCCAAAAGAGAATAATGCTGGCGACATGGGAGCTACATATATGAAGTTATACAGGAAGTGCTCACAGTATTGGGGGTTCTGAGTGATCCAAGTCAAGCGTTACTAGGGGCCTACATCGTACCTACCTTGGTGCTACACTCTGAGGCAGATCCCAAAGACGCATGACACATATTCCTTGCCCTCATGCAGCTTATAATTTGGTTGGAAAGAAAAGACTCATGAAACAATTAGAGAACAATAAACAGTAAATTGGGGTACAGATAATAAATGCTAAATAGACTTTGTGGAGGGAAAGTTCAGGGCAGGCCTGAACAGTGAGCAGAGGTCCTCACAGGGGGCCTTCAGTGGTGTGTGAGAGTACAGCATGTGCAGAGGGGGACTGGTGGGAAAGCCCAACAGGCTAAACAGCAAACCTGCATGTGTACTCTGGGAGCAGAAGGAAGACGCTTTCAAGCAGACATCTGGTCATGATGAAAGTGCGATTTAAACTTCCCTCCCAATTCCTCCACTGCAGGTTATGGCTACAACACAGGGTTCTTGTGTGCAGGATTTCCACATGACCCAGCAACACCCACAAGCACTAAGGTCCTATCCTCTTTGTTTTAGTAGCTATTACCCTAAAAATTTTAAATCCCTACAGTACTCAGGAGAACCTTCTCTGCAGGATCCTAGGGACCTCTGCTAGTTGCCAGAGGGAGGATGGCACTGAGACCTGCAGAGATTTAAGAGGAAGACGGTGCTGTGGGAAGTCCACAGGCTTTGGAGCTGGAGAGAACTGTTGGGTCAAAGGAGGCCTGTACCCTGCATGAGTTGGCAACCTTGGACACTCAATTCCTGACCCTCAGGTTCGTCAGTGTAAAACTGGGAGAAGAGCATCTATTTGTCTTACAACACTGGGGGTGAGGATCTTCTGAAATGTAATGTGCTGTCTGAATAAAGAAAAAGTATGTAAAGAAAATAAAGAAGTTTTGATAATAAATTTACTGTAGTTCTATTGCTCGGAAGAGACACTGGATGTTATAGAAACATGGGAAAAGTGGCCCAAAACGATGAGGTTTGCAGAGCAAGGTGCACCTCCTACTGAGAGCAGGGCACAGGATCTGGCTCTGAGGGGGAGCCTCACCTAAGTGACAACCAGTGTCTGTTAGAAAGCAAGCACGACAATAAGGAAAACTAGGCAGGGCAAGGCTGCGAAGCAGACTTCATGACCAAACCTCAAGTTGGGGCTTAAGGTTTCCAGGACAATAAACAAGCCACAAAAACCCAGGAGACCTTGCAACACTGAGACGGCCGCCTCTGCAGAGCAGAGTCTGCCTTTGACACTGCCCTTCTGGGGTCTCCTGCAGAAAGTTCACGGGCACAGGTCTGCACCTTCAGCCTGGCAGAGGTGCTGCTGCACTCACTCTTCCTGCAAAAGGAAGAGCAAGGGGCCCACAGATGTGTTTTAGTGACAGAGAGGAAACAGACCACACAAATGGAGTCTGGCAGAGAGAAAAGTGAGAGGCCAAGGGTCCCCCCCCTGGGGAAGGCAGAGCCCAGAGCCATGAGGATAGACTATTTTTTATATTTTTCTATCTGCCTAATTTGAATAAAATAAATGTGTATTAAATTCTCAACCGCACTGCTTCGATGAAAAAAAAAAAGGATGCTCTGACTTGGGATTAAGTCATCAGCACAGTGGCAGGCCCTCAAGCAGCTGTTCCCTTTGTGCTGTGACCAACAATGGTGTCTAAATGCACACAAGCTGTGGTCACGTCCCCTGGAGGAGAGGTGCTGGCATAACGCTGGCACAGCACAATGCTGTCTTCACAACAGGACCTGTACAGGGGACAACTGAAGGAGTACACCTGGTATTAAAAGGTCCTGAGAGAATCTTCTGTGTTGTATACCCTAAAAGTCCATCTGCGTCACCTGCTGCTGCAGTTTCACTGCGTTCAGTGGGCGCCAGTCAGTGCTAGGCTGCTGCACTCTGCGGTTACACAACGTGTGTAAGCAAGTGTATCTGTGGGACTGCCAAAGGCCTGTCAGGGCAGGACCTGTGTCTCAGTGGCTGCTGTGCTGCCCAGGGCCGAGGCCTCCAGTCTGCTGGGAGGCCTAGCTATGAAGGGATGAAGGCTCAGCTGCTGTCTCTCCTCTCTGTCGGACCCCTTCCTCAGGGCCAGCTCACACCCAGGTCCCTTCTCCTACCCTTGCAAACAGCGCCTCAAGCCAGTGACCACCACAGCAGTCAGTACAGCGCACAGCCAGGAGTCAGGGGCACAAGGTGCATGGCACACGCAGGTGCATCACCTGACTCCACACCAGGGTGCTAGGAGACAGCCACCACATCCACTTTACAGGTGAGGAAACTGAGGTTCAGCTTAGCTGAGTCAACAGCCCAGGACCACACGGCTGGCAGGTGGCAGGGCCATCTTTGAACTCTGTTCTCATCAGCTCCAGAGCCACGGCTTGCGCTGCCTGTGCTCTGCAGAGGCACAGCTTTCTGGCCCGGCCTTCCTACAGAATCACTCTGCTCTCTGGCCACAAGGAGGGGCCTCAGTGACCAACCTATCAAGTGGCACACACTCGCTGAGGGCAAGGGCTCCTGGGACCATATGGGTGAATGAGGAAACAGGTAGCAGTGACCTCAGTCACTTGTCCTGCATTGGGACAGATCCAGGTGCCTTGGGGAGTAATTGGGGGCTCCTGGCTGTAAGTGGGCTCTAGGGGGCAGATTAGCACGTTATCTGGGGTAAGAAAGGCATTTCTGCTATGAAATGAAAACACTTTTCTGGAAAGAGGAACACTGAGCGTACCTGGGAGCGGGACTCATAATCCATCGAGTCCCTGTCATCTCTTTCAATTCCAAATCTTCTTTTCGTCATCACAGGAAGGGAAAGATCCCGCTGAGGCAGCCCTAGAAAGAAAAGCGCGTCAGGAAGGAACAAGGCCCAGCCTACCTGGCGGAACTCAGGTCTGCCCCCGAGCTCCCAGCCCACCTGGTGTGTGTGCCAGTGTCTGTCTCTTCTCTGCCTCCTATGGCAATGCCCCTCGACTGCCACAACACAGCAGCCTCATCCTTCTGTCCCTTGTCTCAGGCAGCGGAGGTCAGGCCTCAAGCTGCCTGGTCTGGGCAGGACACCCACCACACACCCACAGCCCTGTCAGTCTCCTCAGCTGGGGCTACCATGTTTCAGGCTCATCCAGACATCATGTCAATCACGTTATTCCCTGGTGGCAATTTCAGGGTGCCCTACTGCCAGTGAGGAACAAGAGATGATTTCTGGTGATATGGACACCAACAGTTCATCAGCATGTCTGTTAGTTCCTAATGCTCTGCTAACTCACAAGGAGGTCTCAGGCCTGGCACATGGAGGAACATCCCACACCTACACCAGGCCGCGGAAGGCTTGCCAGGCAGCTGCACTACTACAGCATGTCTGTCTTTCACGATCACACCTTCTATCTAAGGTGTTTCCTATTTCCAATCTTTCCAGCAGTCTTTACGGAGACACTGTTAGCTTTTTAAAAACATCTGCCAGCTTAAAAAAATACTGAGCAAAGAGTGACAGAGATGGAGATAGGTACATAAGGCAAAGACTGCGGAGGAGCTTCAGACACGGGGGCCTGGACTCGACTTTGGAGGAACCAAGACACAGTCCACACCGAGCAGCATGGCCTTCCTGAGGCCCTGGCACAGGTACTGGCGTGCAGACCCCAGGGGACTTACTGCTTCTAGGGCTCCTGGTGTACAACCAGCGGTCTCGAAGCTCCGTGTCTCGGCTCCGGCCCCTCCGGTCCCATTCCCGCTCCCGGTCACCTAGGCAGCCAGATGTTGGGGTAGCTCATGAAGTGCTGGGACACACCTGTGCTCCCTTCACACACACACACACACACACACACACACGCCTTGCCTCTCCCTTGAGCAGATGGCCCTGTATGGAGGGCTTGGGACCCTAGCGTGGTCCCCACCCAATACCTGCAACATGGGCTCTGAAGTCTGCCCAAGTATGGCTCATTTAAAGCAAGTCCCAAAGCTCACCAGAGCCAGCTCCCCCCAGACCCTGGGATGTGTTCCTAATCCCGTTCCTCAGTGGTCAGGTCCAAACCTAGGAAATGGGCCACAGACGTGCTCAGTCTGCTCCAGCCAGCTGAACTCAAAAGTGCACACTGCTGTGCTGCAAGGAAACAAGACCCAAGACCACGCCCTCCCTGAGAGCAGCGCTCCCTTCTGCACACCTCCCCAGGGAGGCTGGGACTGCTCACACCGCCTCCAGACAGCTTTAAGTGCTTCAGTGTTGTTAGAACCCCACATTTCACACCATCTGCTGTTGCTGTCACATCAAATGTCTCAACCGCCTTCCTCTCCTCAGACCCAAGTGATGCCAACCACACAGGCTGGCACACCGGCCATCTCCTTGGGGGGCCTTAATGCCTCTGCCTGCAGGTGGGCAGCCCTGGCAGACAAACCCAGGGTGTTGGGACTGGTGGGTGGCTACTCACTGCTGGACGAGCGGCCTGGTCTAGGTGGTGGGGCTCCTCTGTTGGGGCTCATCTCATCGTCACTGGTCATGTCGCTGCTGCTGTCGTCTGAGAGGACACGGATGCCAGCTCAGCGAGCCGTCACCTCTGGCCGCGCTCTCGCAGCAGCCCCCAGCCCTCTGCCCCTCTCCCATGAGTAGCTCAGAGCCCCTCGGTGGCTTCCAGCCACTTCTGCCACTTGAAGACCTCATGGTGAATATGGCTGCACCCACCTCCTTCACTCCAGAGAAGAGCAGGCAACAGGCTCTTCCTGGAGTACCAGGCCACAAGGCGTGGGTCCTGCAGGCTCTCTGCCTAATGGCACTCCTCCTTCTGCTGACTCAAGTGGCAGCGCTTAGCTAGTGGCTGTCTGTCCCACAGGGGACACTGGGCTAAGCATGAAGACACATCTGGGGGTCACACCCAGTGGGAGGAGGTCATGGATGAGGCTCATCCCAGCGTGCACAGGATGGCCCCTCACCCCTGCCCCAAGACAGAGAGTGAACAGCTCAGATGGCTACAGGTGGGCCCAGGCGGAGCCACGGCAGCCCTTGGTCATGCCCACCAGCCTCCCCTTAAGGGTCCTCACCGTCGGGCTGGTGCATCTCCTTGCAGTGCTCTAGCACAGGGGCAGTGCCTGGCAGTTCTCTGGCCTCTCTCGTACCCAAGGCTGGCACTCCTTAGGGCTGATGGCCTCCCTGGTGCGAGTCTCTGGCTGCAACCAATTGAAGCAGAGGGGTCAGATTGTGATTGAGTCTGTGAGGCCCTGTGCCTTCCACACAGAGCAAGTTCCAGAACTCGATGAAGGCGTTCAGAGTCTGCTGGGCCTCCTCCTGGAACAGCATAGGCCTCCAGTCATGTCACTGTCTAGCTCACAGATAGGGCCCGGGACTCTCAGGTTTGGTGTTGATCAAGTGCTTTGAATACAGCGTTTCTCTAAACAGGTTCTCACTGGAGGAGCCAAGGGTAAGTCAACAGGAAAGACCTGGCAGCCTGAGACAGGTGTCCCAGGGACCTGTGGACACTGAGGACGCCCACAGCTCAGCAGCCCAGGGTGGGTGGCAGTGCGAGGAGGCTGCGTCCCCCCTCCACCAGCACTGTGTCGGGATGGGCAGTGTCCCTGTAGACAGAAAACGGCCTAGGCTCAGCAGGTGAGCAGGACCTATTTCTGAGAGGCTCCCTGTCACCGGGGTCATGTGATGGCGGCAGTCTGTGTGGTCTGTGGGATGGAGGAACAGGTCCCAACCCTGTCAGAAGGTGAAGCTGAAGTGAGCCGAGACACCTGGAAGGCTGAGCTGCCCAGTGCAAAGCCTGTGGGCACTGCTCACAGTCCAGGCTGAACAAGAGGTCAGCGTCCCATCCAGACCAGGAGGGACAGGAGAAGGGGGCCAAGCTCCCCTTGTCTGTGCATTTCTTCCCCTAACACCACAACTGACTCAGGATACCACGTGTGAAGATGGAGGACCACACAAATGCCGAAGTCCTTGCGGCAGGTGAAGTAGTGGCGAATGACTGGGTTCCCTTCCCTGAGCAGCGAACGCCTCTGCACTGGTGCTGCCCCGTGAAGCAGCCCTGGCGGCGCTGCACTCCAGGTGACAGGCCCCGCGGCAGCCCAGGGCTCCTGGCTGCACACAGGGCAGGGAGTGCAAGAGGCTGGCTGGCACATCACCAGGGAAGTCCCCCAGGGCACCTTCCCTCACAGTGAATACCCTTCTGAGGGCCACCGGGCCCCAGATGTAGCCCTTGAGCCCATGCCAAGTCCACTCCCTCAGACATCTTCCCTGACATGCCCTCTGTCCATCAAGTATCTCACACACAGGCTGGGATCATCTCAGGTATTCTCTGATGTGTGTGCCTGTCTTCTAGCAGTAAAGTGAGAACTCAAGTAAGAGGGGTGGAGGCCAAGCCCACCCCGTGCGCGCCACTGCCCGGTCAGAGCTGACGATGCAGCGGGGTGCTGGACATGACATATGAAGTTCCACTTTAGAATCAGTGTTGGATGCAGACACACAATCTTCACACACACCAGCAGCAGCAGGGTGTGAGTGTCTTTGGGGGGGGGGGACATCCTGGGTGGACTTCTGTGCCACTATTTCCAGAAGAGCATGCTGGGAAGCCACCAGGCCTCAGTGGCCCCGTCCCACTCACCTCGGGGCTCACACGTGTCACCCACGCCGTATCACTCACACACGCGTGTCACCCTGGTGGTGTGCAGGGGGCTTTCCTGCCACAGAGCCTGGCACCCTGGGGAAGTGGGGTTAGATGTGGGAGACCCCAGACAAGGCCCAGGCAGCAGACAGCTCCTTGTCTCCATCTAACTGGTCCAAGGCCTAGTTTGTCCCCAAGGATCCAGCTTCCTATCTGGATGACCCTCTTGTCTCTTACTTAATTCAGTTATTTGCTTGTCTTTATTTTCTGCCCCTCTTGGATTTTTAAACTTTTTAGGCTGGATGTAAATGTTGGTTTTTCAATCTTTCTTTCGTAACATAATTGAGTAAGACTTTGCACTTTATTTTACTCAAGTCATTTTCTGCTGCCACGTAAGTTTCGTTATGTAGCCCTTTATTTCTGGCCAGCACCACTGGGGCAAGGAAGTGCAGCAGCATCAAGAGGTTGGGGGGCCCGCACAACACCTGAGAGTTTTGGGCTTCCAGCTTTACTTCCAGAGAAGCACAAGACCATCTGCAGCAAAAAGGCTCTACTCTACCTTTGTTTTGAAAAGAAAGTAAATAAAGCTTAAAAATGTTTTTCAATTAAAAATAAAAAAAAGAACTAGCACCCAATAAAGATGTACAAATATCATATCTCAATAAAATTTAAAAAAAGGTCTAAAGGAAAACTGAGAATGTTTCAATTATTCAGTCTCTAACCAGACTCTGTCACTTGGAAATCTGTGTGCTGACCTCAGTGAACTTGTGCCTCTCCCTCACAGTGACGGGCTCCCTTCCTCCTCCACAAACCCCCATTCTTATCCTTTGGTATTAGCATCTTATGGGGGCACACAGGGCACCACCCACTGCATATGGGCCCCAGTCCTGGAGAGCCTGGCAACATGGCTACTCCCTCCCTGCCCTCTTTCAGGAGCATCAAGATACAGAGAGAATCACAGGTAACACCTGCTAGGTAAGCGAAGGGAACAGGCCTGCGTCTGGGCTCCTGAGAGCTGGTGTGGCATCTCTAACATGAGGGGTTGGCCAATATCACCCAGGACCAGCTGTGAGCAGAGTCCTCTGCCTGGAAGGAAGAAAGGCAAGGGCAGAGGACCCAAGCCTGCTCTGTGGCACCCAAGACTCAGAGGACACTCTGGTGCACTAGATGACATGGGCCTCCACTCCTGGGTGACAAGACGCCCTTGAGTATGCAGTCACCTGTCAGGAAACAGGATCCTTTCTGGAACGTCAGACCAAGCAGCTATCCACAGGAACTGAGTCAAAACGAAGGTACCTGCAGACATTTTAAAGAAAGAGATACATGGACTAAGAGAACATGAAGAGTCTGAAAGGAGTGTTAGAGAAGTCGATCCCCAGTGGCTGGGGACTTGTACAGTGCTGGGGTGAGGCCCTACATGTCTTCAGGAAAAGGCCATTCCCATGCCACGTAAATCAAGCCGGAGATGAGGAGCAGAAAAGTGCCAATTGTCTTTATGAAACTAGAGTTTCTAAGCCCAAGACAAAGACAGCACTAAGGAAGGCACACCTGACTCCCTCGTGTCGGCAGAGAAGAGCCTGACACTGCTGCCAGAGAGTTCCACAGACACCAAGGGGTCCATGAGAGAGGGAGGCGGCCTTCCCTCCCTGTGATCTACACATGCACTTCTGCATTAGGAAGCTCCCCCCAGGGCAGGTGTCTGCAGCATGAAGCCCTGGTGAAAAACACCTATAAGAACTATAGGCTTTAAAGTTCAATAGGAAATCATCATTTTAAAATGAAATATAAATAATCAAACCTTACTCAGGAAGAGGAAAATATGACCACAAGAGAAGAAATCTAAAAAGTTGAAATTATTTAAGAGCAACGTCCCAAATAAATTTTCTTTTTTGGTACCAGGGATTGAACCCAGGGGCACTTAACCACATCCTCAGTTCTTTTTGGTTTTTGAGACAGGTCTCACTAAGTTGCTTAGGGCTTTGCTAAATTGCTGAGGCTGGCCCCAAACTTTTGATCCTCCTGCCCCAGCCTCCCAAGCTGCAGGGATGACAGGCCTGCACCACCATGCCTGGCATTCCAAAAAACTTTCCATGAACAAAGCATTTGCCACATCATGAGACGCCTCCAGAGCACAGACGAGAGAGGAGGCTTCTTGCTCAGCAGCAGTGCAGCTGCCTGGATGCCGGCGAGTGCCTTGTGGCAGGAGAGCGGCAGACTATGCACCACCACGCTGTCACAGTTTCCTTGAGAAGGCCCAGAGCAGGGTACAGAGAGGACCAGTCAACATCTCAAGGTGTTCTGCCCAGGCCAACAGAAGAGCCTCTGTGAATAAGAGCCTGGACAATGAAAGATTATTTTAAAGGAAAACCTTTAAAAGAATAAATAAAAAGACCTTAGCCACATTTTCTTACAATGCAGAGAAAACTCATTTGAGAGTTTTAAAAAAAAAAAAAAAGTGGGGGGGGCATTGTATGGTGGCTTAGGAACAGGGTGATCACAGATGGACCGTGTACATCCATGTGCAGGTAAAGAGACACACATACTCATACACTGCTGTGGTGACTGACTTTGCCACAATTGAAAGTGCACATATCCTGTCCCATAAATTGTACTTCAATGAATTTATCCCAGAGATACGTAATGACACATGTGCAAGAATATGTTCATTGAAGTGTTGCTAACAGATATGGTCTATTTATACAGTGAATTATTATGAAACCTCTTAAAATAACAAGGCACCTCTGAATAAATGGGTATGAGATGATAACGATGTTTATAACATTCTAATAAACTATGAAAACAGAAGTGTTTACACAGACAGTTCCTAGAGGGATTTTAAGAAGCTATTAATGATGACTGATGTGATTGCCTCTGGGGAAAGGGACTGGGGGCCAGCAGAGGGAGAGGAACTTACTTTTTCATTGTATAGTCTCCTTTTGTTTTTAGTTTTTATTTTTATTTTTTACCATGAGCATGTATTACCTATTCAAAAAAATAAATTCAGAGTTAAAACAAAATAAACAAAAGCAGACTGCCGACTGCCGAGGCCCTCACAGACTGGGCTGCCTGCTGAGGGGTATGGGCAGCCTTAACACCTTTGCCTGGAGGCTGAACCCAGCCTTTCCTTCCCTCCTCTGCCATCCCACCCACGCCTGAGTTCAAGGTCCCTCCCTGATCTGGCTATCTGCAGAGGATATGACAGGTAATCTGGAAAACCCATAAGAATCAACTCTGAAACCTCCTGGACCCAATAAACTCTTATGGAAATTGTAGTTGCAATTTGAACGCACCTCTCAATCACACCCCCCAATTACCTGTACATAAATATAATGCCATCCTCTACAATGGTGATTCCACTTCTGAAATCTAACTCAGATCTGCCCAGGTGCCCCAGGATAAACTGTTCAAAAGTGTGTGCACAGAAGCATTGCTTGCACAATAGGAAAGGGGACAGGTGAGAGTGTGCTCGAGCTCAATTAGAACAGCAGAGACCACCACATGGAAAAATGAAAATAAAGATGGGTATAAGTTTTTCTGTACTGTAAAAATCAACCAGAAACGGAGGGGAGAACAATCTGCAACACAGATAATAGTTAATATTTAGAAGGTAAAAGGTTTTTAGCATTAAGAAAAAGGTAACCAGGGGCTGGAGTTGTGACTCAGCGGCAGAGCGCTTGCCTAGCACAGGCAAGGCCCTGGGTTCGATCCTCAGCACCACATAAAAATAAATAAGTAAGGGGCTGGGGCTGTGGCTCAGTGGTAGGGCGCTCGCCTAGCATGCATGAGGCACTAGGTTCGATCCCCCACACCACATAAAAACAAACAAATAAAATAAAGGTATTGTGTCCAACTACAACTAAAAAAATAAATATTTTTTAAAAAAGAAAAAGGTAACCAGCCCAATGTGAAAATAAACTAATACATAGTTCATAAAATCAGTGATGCTAAAAGCCAATATTTAACATCAGAAATCAGAGAAACATAAATATTACAAGGAACATCTTTTTGACCTGCCAAATGGGCAAATTTTAAAAGATAAAAACTGATGCTGAGAGAGTAGGGAGCAGCTGGCCAGTGCAGGAGCAAACTGCATTCTGGATGCCAATTTGGCCTCTGTTTAAAGACATTAAAACTGTCTCTTCCTTTTGAACCAGCAAGTCTCTGTCTAAAGACAAAGACAAGACAAGTCAATAAAATAGTAATACGAAAAGAATCTAAAAAAGTCAGCTGCAAATCATAGTTAAATCCTTTGATGTACAACTAGTTATAAGAGGCAAGGCTCTGGGTGCAGAACGGCATGTGGGGCAGTGGGAGGGACAGGCCAGCAGCAGACAGGCTTGCTCTGCTAGAGCGCAGCAGCTGCCTGGCTGCAGTCCTAACACCTGGGGCCAGAGTCAGGGCGGACAGCACTGGCAGGCATCCTCCTGCAGGGCTACCTGAGCCCAGGTGGGCCGCATGCAAAAGGGACAGCGACCCTCCTGGCCGAGGGGCCCAACCCTACCCCTGACTCACCCTGTCCTCCACTGACAGCCCAGAGGCAACCAGCAGTGGAGTCTGACATGGCGTCAGTGCCTGCCAGGGCCCCGTACTCACCTCACCCTCGCTGGGGCAGACCAGATGCCAGGTGACCTCTTCCTGGGACAGCGAGTCTGGCCAATCAAAAGCATAACTGCTCTACCCACTCGGCCCCCACTTCCCCAGGACAGCTTCTCCATGGCAACAGCCACGCCTACCACTGAAGAAAACAGAAGATATGTGTTTGCAGGTGGTTGAGGGGAAGAAAGTCTCCAGGTTTGTCTAATATCATTGAAGGAAATGTTAAGGCTAAGGAAGGAGTCTGCCCGACAATGGTCTAGAAAGGCACCCAAGTAATCAGAGATGTGCTGGACTATGTTTGACCCCAACAGGGCACTGTACCCAAACCCTGCCCACAGGTCCCCGAAGGCATCTGTTGCCTTTTTCATCCTAGTATTTTTATAGAAACTGTTAAATAAACATTTTTTTTGCATTTAGATGCAAAAACACTTAATAAATTCCATCAAGCAAAGTCTGAGAAATAACTCATGAAAGGCTATTCCACAATAGGAGGATGATGTCCTACAAGGGTACACTGCTATTCATAATGGGTTGGGGGGCCCACGCGCAGCCAGTACAAGTTACAAAGTAACTTGTCGATAACTTCGTCAGTCCTTCCTCATATACTCTCAGCCAATGGTCAACTTAAGGAAGTGCAAGCAAGTGCAGCATCAAACACTAAGTTACTCTCCAAGGTGGTCATGATGGGGAGCAATGCCCCACCACAGCCACTATCAACATCTTCTCAGAGAAGTCCTAGGAAAGGGGCGGATGTGGAAAAAGCATTATTCTGAACTGAAAACCCACACCAGAAGGACAGCAAGGTAGGAAAATCTACATTAATAGTAGAAAAAAAAATTCTCATAAATATATAACAAAGCATTTGGAACTCCAGACAAAACCTTAAGAACTAAAACAAACACCCTTAAGAACTTACAGAAGGACACCAAGTGGGTCCTAAGTGGACAAGATGTATATAAACTGCAAAAACAATCAGCGGCAAAAAAGGTGACTCTCCTTCTGGTAAGAGGTCTTGACAGACATGTGACCCAGCTCTCCTGGAAGAGTATACACAGAAATATCAACATGACTCTATGTAAGAAGGTCTGTGGGGTGGGAGTCTGTTGGAAAGGTGACCTGAACACATGGAAGCCAAGTTCTCTCCAACACCAAGGTGTGGTGTGAGGACCAGCGGACCATGGGACCCAACAGGGTCTTAAATCAGGAGAAGGACTGATTACTCACCAGGACCTGACAGGGTCTAGAGCTACTCGTGCAGATCCAGTGTAGAGCAGAGGAGCGTCTTAAATCAGGAGAAGGACTACCTACTTAAACAGAAGCTGGGATCTCTCTTGGGCCTAAATGGTAAAGGGTAGCCTACAACAGCAGAGACCACAGTAGACCACGCCTGCTTGACCCCCCTCCCAAGTGTACACTTCCAAGGGAGATCGGCCTCTGACACTGGCAGAGATCAATAAAACAAGAGCTGTGTCGGACCTCCCCAGAGAAACGCTGCATTTCAACTGCACACTCTGGAAGCTCAAGTCACTCAGGTAGGGACAAGCACACCCTATTCTAACTACATCAAGTCACTGCACCCAAACTCAGCATTCCTCCTGGGAGGAATGTTAATTTCATTAACAAGGAACAAGCAGAAGTCTCTACCCTGATGTTACCTAATTGTTAAGTCAGGTTTCAAGAAAACTTACAGCTTTACTTCCCGATTCTAACACAAACTCAAGCACCTGCAAAATATTCAATGTAGAAATTGCAAGCCACACCCACTGGTCTGCTATGTTGTATTATTAACCTTATAAACCTAGACATGTTGTTCTTACTGCATATATAGCACATTATTTGCATACAGAAAATGATGGCAATGTCCACATAAAGGGATCTAGTGCTCTTCGGAGGGCAAAACAGAAGAGAACGCCTAGGTGTGAAAGGTGTGACAGGCGACACACTCTCACATAGAGCTACAGTCACAGAGCCACTGACACAGGAGACAATGGCCATATAAGCTTACATAAGGCTAGTCACAAAATGGGGAAATCTATTAGACAAATAGGTGACTAGTAAAAGAAACCTTTCCCCCTGTCGTTTTAGAATGCTATTTTAAGTTCACAACCAGGAAGAAAACATTCAATCTACAATGTGGAAGTTAATTCAATTCCCACTTCCTTTTCCTTCGTGCTGGGTCTCCTGATGCTCCTTAGCTCCTCGCTCTCCTCTATGGGCTCCCCATGTCAAGGCCTCTCTCAGAGCTGACGCCCCCAGGCATGCCCAGGCATCCTGCGGTGCTGTCTGCATGCACCTTCCTGTGGCATGCTCTGGCCCTGAGCTCCATGCCAAAGCCCTCATTTCATCTTCACCACTGACGAAGGTGAGCTCCAGCCACAGGGAAAACTCACCTCCTTCACTTCCTGGCTTGAAGGTGGACTCTTATACACCTCTCACTTTCACATCTCCCTTTTGCTTTCTCCAGAGTAGGAATCCTAACGTTGGCCAAGTACTGGCCAAGGTCAGGGGATGGCCCACAGGAACTGGCCTGACTCTGGGCCAGAGGACCAAGGGATGGGGAGGAGAGGGGCCAAATGCTGTGAGCCAGTAATAAAGCTGCCTTTTCCACAGCTGGGCAGATAAAGGCACCGATGGGCATCTGGCTGCTCTTCAGCCTCTGAAGAGCCTGTTCCTAAATACAGCCTTCTGTATGCAGAGGGAATTTCATTCATGAGTTGAGACATCTGGAACCACAGGACAGTGGCCATATCTGCTAGGTAACAGTGGTGCCACTGGCGTCTGTGTGATGGAAATTTTATAACAATTCTATTTCCTAAGATTCAGTAAAAAAGCATGGATCCAACAACTAACATAACACATAATAAGGATGAAATTCATCACAAGTGGGATAGATCTTTGCCTTCACTCAGAGAAACCATGGGTCAGTGAACAACTGAACAGGGACACATGCAGGACACTGGGATGTGTCTGGGACAATGTGTGAGGAAAGAGAGAAAGCTTGCAGCCCTCTTTTGACCCATAGCCCCCGGGGGTGGGAGAACCCACCACGCTCCTGCCCCATCTCCACTTACTTACTTCTGGCCCCTCACCACGGTGCCCCTAGACCCAGCCCCTGACTGGTTCTACCTACCTCACGTACAGGGGCCTGGGATTGAGGACTTTGACATCAGGAACCGAGGAGGCTACTCTTCTCTCCCAGGGGCAGCATGGTGTGCAGTCTCTCCTTTCTTCTTGTCTGATCCCTTCTCCTGCCCCTTTCAGCAGACCGATATTCTCCACTTCAACATGCACAGGGAGTAAGACACTGTCCCAGCCCCCCGCCTGCCTCACCTCCCTGACAGATTCATCAGCATCCCTTCATCCAAATTCCGAATCTGAAAAGTGCTGCCATCTGCTTTCTTCTAAGGCAGTGGCTTTCCAACTCAGGTGCACTGAAGAGTCACCAAGTGCTTATGTGAAAAATGCCCCTTTCCATGCAGGACAACTCCAGAGGCCATTTCCTCAGGAAAGAGGTGCTCGGCAGGTGCTCCAAGAACTGTACCTGAGAACCACTGCTCCAGGCTCAATTGTCTGGTATGGTTCAATTAACTCTGAACAAGGCACACAGGGGACAAGAGGGCTTAGGAGTAAGGATTTTATGGGGGAATGCGAGCAAGGAGATGATGAGCACCACCCTACTACATGGGCCATGACCTCCACCCTCTGGCCTGATGGGTGGCACCTGTCAGGTGATCTCTTAGCATCCTGGGCTCACCTCCACCTGAATAAGCTCAGCACTTACCACACTCCGCAAAAACTCCTCACTGTTGTCCACTCTTGAGGGATTTCCCCAAAAGTTCAGAAAGAGAGGAAATAGTAGAGTTCAGTTTTGTGATCAGCACAAAAACAGCTCAAGGCTACTTTAAATAAACAAACTGTCTCCCAGACCATTATGACTTATCTGACCGCTATTTTTAATCAGTAATTGGCTGATGTCATTTTTTAAAAGATGGGAGGCATGAAAATGCCACAAAGCATGGCTCATCTGACACTCTGCAGTGGAGAGTGACTCTTTCAGACCTAATCTGAGTGCAGACTGGGGAGGGAAGGGAACAGGCAAAGAGCGTCTGGTCCTCTCGTAGTGCCACCAAGGGTGTCACCAGGCCAGATGGCTGCACGGCGCCTAGGGCCGGTGCTGCTGCACGCATTCACACCCTCAGGTGGACTTCGCACTCACCCAGCAGCCTCCCCGTTATGCTTCCCTTTCCTGTACAGGTCTAGCTCTGCCCACAGGGAGACAATTTGCTGGTTACACACGCTTTTGAGTATTTAGGTCCCTGCTAGTGTCACCTCCTGCCATGAATTACTAACCAGATTTATCATCTGGGAGCAGGAGCATCTGATTTCAGTTCCCATGACAGGCTAGTTTCTGAGTTTCTTGAATGTGGTCTACAAATGTGAGTCCACAGGTGGGGGAAGGCTTCTCACTGTCTAGAGGTTTCAGCACAGGCTGGACACCTAGAGAACCCACTCAGGTCAGGAGCACAGCAAGCCATGCAGGGCCACTCTGGCCTGCTGGCCTTCCCCCAAGAGTGTCCCCACCACCAGCAGAGCCGGCTACTGGGTAAGCACATTTCTTTACAACAGGAAATAATGGACACTTAGGCCAGGGATTGCCTCACTCACTTCTGGAGTATCAAATCTTGCTAATGGGCTGAACAAATCAATGACGACTGGCTATTTTGCTCACTTCCCCATGTTAAAACAGTCATTGGTCTGGTCTGAATCCTGAAAACCATGAACAAAGAGAGTGACCTCTCGGAAGTCTCCCTCCTCAGTGCCTTTCTCCTCTTCCAGTGTGGTAACTCCAAGCCACCATCTGACACCTGCTCCAAGGTGATCTCCCCCACCCACCCTGTCCACCCCACCCTTCTGCATTCTGCAACCAGACAATCTTTGCGAATGCACATGTGCTGTTGTGTCCCGTTATCCCACAGCTGGAAAACCTCTTGGCTCCCCTGCACACCAGGTCATGCCTGAATGACTGCCGCTGGCTTCAAGGCCTTTAACAAAGTAGCCCAACTTACCTTGCCTCACCTCAGCCGGGCGCCACTGGGCTCTTCTCTTGCTCTAGGTGTCCTGGAGTTTGGCTCCTGTCTCTGCATCCCTCAGGAACATCTCACCCTCTGCTTAGACTACTCTCCCCATGACACACACAACTCATGGTCCTTTAGTAGGCAGTTTTTAAAGTGCCCAACCACCTCAGGGAGGACTTACAAGGTCTTTCCCAGATTAAACTAGCTCCCCCTGACAAATGTGCCCCAAAAGACTTGAATCACACAGTCATATTTTCCATGAGACTACAAGCTCTATGAAGACACCTCCCTTCACACTTAAAGCCATGTTCCCAGTGCCCGGCACAAAGTGTACTTGATCAATACCGGCAGATAAATCAAAGCTCTCACACTTCTTACATCACCCCACGAGAGAAAGAGGAGGCCTAAAGGAGTGGCTGAATGCTAGGAAAAGAGGTAGGACACCAAGAGGGACGGCATGAGGTCACGGAGGAGAACTTCTGGCCAGTGCATACACAGCTAGAAGAGTGCACGTGTTCTCAGAGGGTCTGAAGGTGCTCTTGAGGCTGTGTGAACATGCACAGCAGGGAAATGTCAAGGTGTGGGAGCACAGGGCTCCCTCCAGAGGCAAGTGTGGCAGTGTGAGCAGTAAGGACGACTCACCTGGACTCAGCCACCTAGCACTTGGACCTAGTCCCTCTTTCTTGCCAGCTGTCTCCAAGAAGGTGAAAGATCAAGAAGGCAGAGCTGTGGGAGGAAAAACAAAACATGAAGCACCCAATTTACTTTGCAGTTACAGGCTCCTCAGTGGTAAACAAGACACAGGTCCACCTGTATCTCCCACAACGGCACAGGTCCAGTGAGACCAGGAGGGCAGCCTCACTGCCCAGGATGACGGTCATGGGCATTACTCCTGAGGTCCATGCTGTATCCTTGCTATGCTCAGGGCCTCCTGACCAGGTTATGTCAAGGGCCTTGAAGTCCGCTCTGGGATGTCTCCAAACCTCTGGGTTCTGGATTAAGAGAGCAATTCAGTCATCCATATAACCACTTATACACGTGGCCCTAAGCATTCCTCTAAAGGCAAAGATACACGCTGCACATAAAAACTGGAGAAAACCGGCTGAGAAAGAACTCTTATACAATACCAGGTATAGTGTTTAGCTCTCACATTTACACTAGTTTTCACAATTCTATTAATTTTCTAGGCAAACTATTAGAAACTAACTTAATGCCATTTACAAATAGAAAATTGGCTTGTGTTTTACAGAAATCACATGGTATACCAATATAGGTACCCATTAGAAACATGAATTCAAACTCCAGTTCTGTCACTTAATAGTCAGTGGAGTAGGACCAGAATTTTAATTTTGCTGTAAATTTAAGTATGAAGGAACTACCTATTTTAGAACTTTAATGCTATCATCACCAATACGATTAGACACTTGTATCACTACTTAATTATGTGTAATGCTTTAGGGCTCATCAACACGCTCCCAGTGGACTCATAATACATAGTTAAAACCCCAGGGCACTTAAGAGCATCTATTCAACCAACTGGAGGCCCTGGGGGAGGGAGCTTCACATCACATTTCTGGTTTCTGTTCCAGGGTCAGGCGAGTACATTTTGGTAAGATCAAATAGTTTACTTATTAGAAACTACTTGCCATTTACTGGTGCTCCATAAGTGTCAGCCATTATTAATATTAGCCATTAATAAATGGATACATTAACCACGACTGGAAAGGAAGAATCCTGTGTGTCACTTTTCCTACTTCCTGGAGGGCAGAAGGGGAAAGGAGACAGGGACTTAAAAGCTAGAGTGGAGACAAGCCTGGAGCCTCAGACATGCTCACCTACTGCAGACTGCCAGAAGCTCTGAGCAAGCTCCACACTCTCCTAGCCATGGGCGTGGCCAGCCTCTCTTGCCAGGCCCTTGCCCAGATCACCACCCCCACCCCCACCCCCACCCCCACCCCCCCTTGCCTTGCCTCTCAGGACCACCTACAGCTGTTCCACTGTGGAATTTGAGTAAAATCCCTTCTGCTCCCACAGCCTCCAAATTACCCAGACCCCCAAATCATATGATCAGCCCACCCCCTCCATCCCCCCCTCCCCCCAGTATATCAACCCCCTGAATTCTGGACCCATGTCTGCAGAGAGCGAGGCTAAGTGTTGAGCCCCACCCTGTGGCAACACGGCAGCATGTGTGGCACCCAGCCAATTTGGCGGCCGGGGCTCGTTGGGCCATTGTCACCTGACGACACCTGCACAGATGGCACAGACTGAAAGAACATGACTGTGGCCCGCCCACAGTCCTGCTGTCATTCTACAGGACACCTGCACAGAAGTCCTGGGCTGCCACCTTTCGGCCAACTCGCAAAGTACCAAGGCCAGTGGGGATCCGCGGGCCCACCACTCAGAAGACAGCCCCTCCCTTGGGCCCGCCCCTGCAGCAAATCCTTGCCAATGAGGATGGAGCTTGCGCAGTAAATTTGAGACGCCCCCCTATGGCTAGCAAAGATGGCTCCAGGGTGGGTGGGCTCTGCCGTCCCTGTCACTCAGAAGACAGCCCCTCCCTTGGGCCTGCCCTCTGCAGCCAGCCCCTACCAATGAAGATGGCACCTGCGCAGAAATCATCAGGTGCCCCCCAGTGGCTAGCAAAGATGGCTCCAGGGTAGGCGTGGCTCTACCGTCCTTGTCACTTGAAAGATGGCTCCTCCCTTAGAACTTTCCCCTGCAGTCAGTCCGCCCAAGAAGATGGCGCCTGCGCAGAAAGCATCAGGCGCCCCCCAGTGGTAGCAAAGATGGCTCCAAGGTAGGCGGGGCTCTTCTGTCCCTATCAGAAAACAGCCCCTCCCTTGGGCCCGCCCTCCTGCAGCCAGCCCCGCCAATGAAGCTGGCACCTGCGCAGTAAGCGTCAACCGCCCTCTTGTGGCTAGCAAAGATGCCTTCAGGACCGGCGGGGCTCGGCTGTCCCTGTCACTCAGAAAACAGCCCCTCCCTTGGACCCGCCTCCTGCAGCCAGCCGCTGTCCATGAAAATGGCGCCGTCATACAAAAGTCAGGCATCCCCCCCTGTGGCTAGCAAAGATGGCGCCAGGGTGGGTGGGCTCTTCGGGCTCATTAGTAACTCAGAAAACAGATCCTCCCTCAGGCATACCCCCTGTAGCCAGCACTGCTATCAAATCGGCATCCATGTACAAAACAAAAGGCCGCCCCCAATGACCAGCAAAGATGGCGCCAGGGTGGACTGATGCCCTCTGAGTCACTCAGAAGACAGCCCCTCCCTTGGGCCCACCCTCTGCAGCCAGTCTACAGTCGGTGACGATGGAGCCCGAACAGGAAACATCGGGCGCTCCCCTGTGGCCAGCGAAGACTTCGCCAGGGTGGGCGGGGCCTTGCTGCCCCTCTCAGTAACCCAGAAGACGGTCCCCCTCTTGTGCCCATCCCCTGTAGCCAACTCAGCTGTCAATGAAGATGGTACCCGCATAGCAAATGTCACACGCCCCCAGGTGGCCAGAAAAGATGGTGCCTGAGTGGGCGGGATCTGAGCATTGTCAGTCACTCAGGAGACAGCCCCTCCCTCCGATTACACTCGGCAGCCAGCCCAGCTGTCACTCAGGATGGCGCCTGCCGCAGCAAGCGTCGAGCGCCCTTCTGTGGCCAACAAAGTCTACACCATGGGTGGGAGAGTCACTCAGGACAAGGCACCCCTCCAGCCCGTCCACAAGGCACCAACGTACAACACATTTTTTGCTG